AATCAAATGCCAAAAACGTGTGCATTGCTTTAGAGGTTTAACCTTGGGCCATATATATTATTCAAACCACAATGAATATATATTCTAAAAATATTTCTGGTTTATTTTTACTTGTCAAACTTGACAAAAATGTGATACATACAAATTATTAATACTCGGCTCAAGGATCAGTTTAGGGCTTAACAGCATTAAATCAATGAAACTCAATGAGCACTGGAAACTCTGCGGGGATGGAGACTCAGGTCAGTGAGTTCTGAAACTTCATGGGAATCGACTATGAGCTCGAAAGTCACCAATCTGGCAAAGTTCAGTCTAAGTTCAGAAGAAGGAGTGAAGTACAGAGGAGCAGATCTCAGCTGCTACAATCTGAGCAGATAGCAGAGACCCAGGAGAAAAGAGGAGCAGCAACCAGTAGCATCCAGAGGGCAAATCCAAGCCTTGGTCAGAAGACAGCTTCAAGGTCGGCAACAGGAGAAATCCAGGTAACAGTCTGGAAACACAGGACAGGCTATAACACAGGTTTGGACCAAAGCAGATAAGAGGAAAATTAGTAAAACACAGCCTATGGTGCCAAGAGCATGAGATAATCCCCCCACCCCAAGGGTGGGGGGATACCAGACACTTCACCGGGCTGATCAGTGTGATCTCTATGGAAGGCCCAATTGGCACCTGAGAGCAGACAGACGGGCAGAGGAACCTTGGATTCTTTTTCCTGAATGGTGAACACCGGTGGCTGAAAACCATTCATAACAAAGAATGGAGAGCCCAGAAGGAGAATAATTAATTGCATGCTCCACCCAGGAGAGTTGACTGGCCCACTTAGTGGGATCAGACTGAAAGAGGATACAGATGTTGGTCTCAATTTCCTGGTTGGCCCTTGCTGTCTGACCGTCCGTTTGGGGGTGAAAGCCTGATGACAGACTGTAGGAGCTCATTATGGAAATGAGAAAAAGGTGGCTGCAGCATATATGGAGAGAGTTCTGTCATGGACCTCTATTAAGACAGAGGATGTGAGGGCCCTCCAGGAGTACAGCCTCTTTCTGCGTGGATGCTGCAATGCCATGGAAGATGTACAGTATCCAAATGACCTAGACACACCCACAAACATGTTGGAGATCATTAAAAAACTGCCCTACAAACTCAGACCGCTGGAGATGCCATGCATATGACCTGCAGGAAAAATACAACAGAAGAGCAAGGTTTATAGATATAGCCAGCTTTGTTGAGAAACAGGTGAAAATCTTAACAGTCCCAGTTTTTGGAAATATTCAGGACATTACTTAATCAACTAAACAAATAAAACACAAACCTCAGCCTCGTTTCAGCATCAAAGGAACCAGCTTTGCTACCACTGTGGATAATGTGGAAAGAACAGGCACACCTTTGAACAAAGCTAAAGATATAAAACTAACAGCCAAAAGGATTTGTCCTTGCTGCACTAAAGGACACACATTGGATATGTGTGCACGGTTTGAAGAAAAGGCGCACAAGGAGAAAATTGACTTCCTGAAGGCAGATGGTGCTTGCCAGTACAAGTAAAAGCAAAGAAAGGCAATAATATCATTTTCACCTATGCTATTTTGGACCAGGGAAGTACTGCAGTGTTTTGTACTGAGAGCAGATACTCAATTTATCTGGGAAGACGGCAAACATTCTACTCAGGACTATGGGTCAGGAGAAAATGGTCAGTAGTTATATTGTGCCAGAGCTGGCAGCATTTGAAGATGACACCTTCATCGAGTTGCCAAAGCACATACTTAGTTGTCAATGCCAGTCCACAAAGTAAACATTCCCACAAATAAGGATCTACAAGATGGCCATATTTAAAACATCTTTACTTACCACAGAATGAAGCTGGAATTTAGTTGCTGATTGGCTCTAATGTCCCACGAGCCATGGAACCGCTGGAAGTCATCCGCAGTGAGCATAATGGACCCTATGCTGTAAGGACAGTGCTGGGCTGGACAGTAAATGGACCACTAACAGGAAGTACTGGAGAGGCCAATTACTGCGAGCAGGCAGTAACTGTGAACCGTGTGTCCATTGGGAGTTTGGATGAACTATGGCAACAGCAATTTAAGATGGATTTTCCAGAGTGGCGGAACAAATAGGTCTGTCAAGAGAAGACCTGAGGTTTATGGATATGGTTAGAAAGTCAGCCAAACATATTGATGGTCACTACCGGATCGCTCTGCCTTTAAAAAACTCAAACATTAGCATGACCAATAACAGGAAAGTGGCAGAACAACGTTTACACCACTTAAAGAGTATAACACCTTTGTTAATGATCTCCTTTGTAAAGATTATGCAGAAAGAGTTCCTGGTGCAGAGCTGGAAAGAAGTGATGGCAAGGTTTGTTACATACCGCATCACGGTGTCTACACCCAACAAAAGGAAAACTGAGAGTCATGTTTGATTGTGGTGCCCGTTTCAATGGACAGTCTCTGAATGAGGAGTTGTTGCAAGGCCCCGATTTAACCAGCTCACTAATTGGAGTTGTGACCAGGTTCAGGAGGGAACCTGTGGTCATTATGGCTGACATAGAAGCTATGTTTCATCAGGTGTATGTGCTGCCAGAAGATGCTGACTTGCTAAGATTCCTATGGTGGCCACAAGGAGACCTGAACCAAGCACCATGTGAATATAGAATGAAAGTACATCTTTTTGGTGCAACAACCTCCCCTAGCTGTGCCAACTTTGCCCTCAAAAAATGTGCAGATGATTTTGGACACGGTTACAGAAGGGAGACAGTGGATAAGTCTCAGCACTGTTTCTATGTTGATGACTGTTTGGTGTCAGTTGCAACAGAAGAGGAAGCACTGACCCTCTGTCAGAAGCTCACATCTCTAAGTGCCAAAGGTGGGTTCTGTTTGACTAAGTGGTTCAGTAACAGAAGTGAGGTGATTCAGACCATCCCAGAACCTCACAGAGCTAAAGGCACGGAGCAGTTGGATCCGGAGAGTGAGTTTATGCCCATATAAAAGAGTGTTGGGTGTGGAGTGGTGTGTCAAGTCAGACAGTTCAAATTCAACATTATATGGAAAGAAAGACCATTCACCCACAGAGACATTCTGTCTGCTGTCACCTCAATTTATTATCCACCCTCAAAGATGCGGACCAGGTGGAAAGCATCGTGAAGATCCATCTAGGAAAAAATCTTAGCCCCCCTGAATCTGGTCAAAAGCTGAGTTGATCAGAGAGATGGGGTAGTGATTCTTAATCGTGATGTAATTTATACCCCTTTAATCTATACATGGTCTAAGGGAACTATCCATCTTTCCCACAAAAAAGAAGCTTGCACCCTCAGGGGAAGCATAATGCCAATTCCAAGTTACTCAGAAATAAAGTTCTCCACAGCAAAAGTCTAAGAAGCAGCACCCCTAGAGGGTGTGGTTCCTGGCAGCAAATCAATCCCACAATCATAAGGCCTGTGTGGAGGTGGAGCAGTGGCTCTACGTTTATTGAAAACCGCCTGGAGATTGTTATACTCCACAGGCACCTTAGAGAGATCAGAGTAATAATCATCATCAACCTGACTGTTAACTGAGGCTTCTGACTTGACTCAGCGTTGACAGTAACCAAGACAGGAAGAAGCCCAACCTAAAACCTCCAACCTCTGTCAGTCGATATGTGAATTCTGCTTGGTTAGCCAGGTTAAACCTAAAATGACTGGAACCTGAGGAGAATCAATGATTATAAAGGAACTAATCTCAGCATGATCACCACCCATCACTAGCTCCGCTGGTTCTGTCATAAACGATGACTGATTAAGTTGGTGGCCATCTAGGGCTAGTAGAGTCTGGTGAGGGAAGGAGCTTAATGCCGAGTCGTTTGGCCAGGTCCCCATCCGTAAACTAGGTGTCAGCTCCTGAGTCCACAAAAGCAGAAAAATTATGACTGTACCTATAGAAACAGTCACAGGGGGCAGGAGTTCGGGGGAGACAGGTAGTCTAGCTTGGCTCAGCAGGATCCTCCCCACTCCTACTGAGATTGTCCTTTTAATGAGCAGAATCTCACCTGATTTCCCTCACCACCGCAGTAGAGACAGAGGCCCAGCTTGAAGCAGTGACCATTCTCCTCTTTGGAAAGACGTGTCCATCCCAGCTGCATTGGCTCTGGACAGGAAGACAGAGGAGGAGGATCCGAAGCAGTCATGTGAGCCACTGAAGCAGAAGAGGAAGTGAAACGATGATCACTCTTTGTGACACTCCCGAAGGCGAAGGTTGATCCTGGCCGCCAACTCCTCCAACTGCTTCAGGGAATGAGGAAAATCCCAGGCCGTGAGCTCGTCTTTGATCCTCTCTCTAAGTACAGTGATTAAGACATCCATGAGAGCATGCTCATTCCAAGAACTTTCAGCAGTCAGCAAGTGGAAGTCGATTATGTAATCAGACACAGACCAACTCCCCTGTCTTGAAGCCATGAGTCCTCTGGAAGCTTCTCTGCTAGGGAGAACTGGACTGAAAACTTTTATAAGAACTACACAGAGCAGAATGATTCTGCCACTCTGACATTCCCCATAACTTTGCTTTGCCCGCTAACAGAGAGATCACATAGGCCAACTTGGTACGATTGGAAGGAAATGCGGAGGGCTGAGACCCAAAGTGGATTTCCCACTGGGTCAAAAGGCTTAACATTGTTCCGGATAGCCTCTAAATAACTCTGGGGATGACTGGAGCGGCTCTTGGCCGACCCATCTAGCCGAGGCAAGCGTCTGTTCGGGTTCTGCAGTGGGAGAGGAATCACAGACAGTAGATCGTAGCCAGTCTGTCTTGCGTTCTCTTCCCCTGTGGTGATGTCAGCACCCTGTCCTCTCCACCAGAATCCCTAGAAGGTTAGTAGATTTTCTGGATGTCCTTAAAATCGTTCAACACATCCCAGCCACTAGCTCGTATCACCCTTCCCAGTGGTTATTGTTCCTTCTGTTCAATTGATATTAAAGTTAACCTTAGTTGTATGACCTTCAACCATTTCGAGTATCTATGTATAGCTTTTTGGGTGTCTGTATGCGAAAGATTAAGTGTTTCTGTCTGTCTGTGGGTTTGATAGGTCTTCAAATAACCATAAGCTATAGATAGGTGGGCAGTACCAGAAATCCTGTTGTCATCTGGTGGACCTCCCATGCAGTTTGAACATGTATAATTAATCCATTGTCCTGTGCAGAACGTTCTATGAAGGATGTTGAACTGTATCAGCTGGAGGTTTGCAGTTATGGTCATTTTAAAAATGTTTAGGTAAATTTTACTTAATATCTCTACTGGTATATAAATCAGCACCAACCTTTGACATTCAGCATCACCTGCTTCTTCATCAGTTCCTCTCCTCTCCTGTTGATGATGGAGCAGGTGTAGGTGTTTCTGTCTCTGTATGAGGGGTATCTTATGGTCAGACTGTGGTCTCCAAATTTCAGCAGGTTCTCATTCATCTCTGTTCTTTCTTTATAAGTCTTATGCTGTTCGTTAGGCCCCTCAGGACCTTTTGGATACACATGAACTGTTATTCCATCTTCGTTTGTCCACTTTACTGTAACATCCTTCTGCAGGTAGAACAGATAGCAGGGCAGCAGGACAGACTCTGCTCCTGAATTCACCTCCACCTGGTGAACTGACAGCAAAACATAGAACATTATTAATGTTTAAAAAGAACAGATCTAAACGCATCTGACTGGACCTTCCACTCCTACCCTTTTGTATTTGTCTTATAAATAGAGGGTTTCTCCGCTAGCTGAAAAAAAGGTTTTATTTGTTATAAAGCTCAGTGTTGAATAAAGTCCTGTTTAGATTAAGTCAAGAGGTGTTTAAATGGGCCATTTAACATATATAATTTTGGTTAAGGGATAAGCAACTTTAAAACATTTTGTTTTGGTAATGTAAATGCTGTGGATTCAGTTTTTATGTATAATCCTGCTGTATCTAGTTCATCAACTAGAGGACTCCCTTTTCTTTTGACGTTTTGCTTCGAGTATTTTATATAATTATTACCTTCACTAAGGAGGTTAAGTTTTAGGTGAGTTTGTGTGTGTGTGTTTTTTTTTGTCTTTCTGTGTACAGGAAAAATTGAAAAGTTATAAATGGATTTCAATGACATGTTTATAAGAGGTGCACCTTGGTCCAATAAAAAATCCATACAATTTTGGTGAATATAAAGATTATTATCTGGATACACTGTCCTGATCTTGGCGCTGATGACTGGGTTAATGATTCAGTCCTTTCACCTGTCTAGCTCTGCCCAGTTTCCCATCACAGTTCTTCTGTGTCACGTACTCTAGTCTCTATTTAAACTGCTTGCTCCTAGTCATCAGATTATTCGAGCCTTTGGAGAGAATTTTCTAGCATACCTGTTTGTGGTACAATTGCCTGATCCTGACCCGTTTCGCCTTTGGACTCTGAGCCTGCCTGTTCCTGTTCTGATCTGTTTTCCTGGCCTGTCTTCGGACTCCTGCTTGGTTCTCCCTTTTAACCGAACCTGGAACTTCTTCCTGACACCCTCCTGGATTCCTCTTTGGTACCTCTTCGGACCATAGTCGTCCCTGCAGATCCTTTGTTTTTAATAAACTTTTGAGCAATCATGTTGTCTGTTTGCCTTGAATTCTCCGTTAGAGCCCTGACAGAATAATCTGACAAAAAAAAAACATGGACCCTTCGGCTCTGAGGATAAATCTGAGCGCAGCAAGACGGGAGGAACTGTGGAGGGTGTACGCTTTGCTTTGAGCAGGAGGTCTGGTGCTGCGGGGCGGAGAGGAGGATGTCGGATTTCGGGGTAACAGGAGAAGCGGCACAAGTGATGTTTAAACACTGTCCTCAGACAACATGCAGTAATTTATAAATATTTTAAATCAGGTTGGGATTAGACAGCAGGTGGATCTGGATCTTTACCTCGGTCCGCTAATCCTTGACCCATGCCTTATAGTGTACCCACCAACTTTCATTACAAAGCTACACCCTTGCCACATTATGTACTATTTGGTATGTATCAATGAGGGTGATGAGTGGAAGATGGCATCCAAGAGTCCTACAGGTCATTATGATTATTTGGTCATGCCTTTTGGTCTCACTTAGTCAATGAGGTTCTCAGTGACATGATGGGATATATATATATATTTTTTATCTGGATGACATTATCATCTGACATTACCATAAAAAGAATGTCAGGGCTGTTCTGTTGCACCTCTTGTAGAATCAGCTTTTTGTTTAAGCTGTGAAAGGTGAATTTCATGTTGAAACTTTGTAATTCCTGGGTTTTGTGGTGTCTCCTGATCAGATTTCTATTGACCCCACAAAGGTGAGTGCACTTACCAACTGGAGTCGGGGTGGTCCTCAGTCAAAAAGCCAGGGGTGGCAAGATTTATTCCTGTTCTTTTTTGTACGGGACTTTCAAGCACAGAGAGGAACAATGATGTGGGAAATCAGTACCTGCTGGCGGTTGAGCTGGCTTTGGTGGAATGGAGACATTGGTTGGAGGGGTCCAAGATTGCCTTTCTGGTTTGAACTGATCATAAAAATTTGGAATACTCTAATATCTTACATACACAGGACCAAGAATGTTTAACCACATGCTCTGTCCAGGGCTTTTGGACAATGAGAGTTTCAGTGGTGCAGATAAGTATGTGTTATCTGAGTCTATAAGATATTCTATCACAATGGTTGATCTAGAGGAGGAAGTCAGAGAGGCTCTCTTTAATCATCAAACACCGAAAGATTGTCCTAATGAATGTCTGTTTGTACCTGTCAAGATAGAGGGTGCTAGAGTTCTGTCACAGTTCCCGCTTGTGTTTCTAAGACAATCAAAATTTTTCGGCACAATTTTGCTGGCCTTCTCTGTCCTCAGACATATGGGACTTTGTGGCAGCTTGCCCCCTTTGCAATCAGTCCAAGATGTCCAGAAGACCTCCGTCTGGTTTTCTAGGACCTTTAACTATCCCATCTCGACCATGGTGTAAAATTGCAATGGATTTCATTACAAGGTTACCCTATTCGGGGGGGTAACACTGTCATCCTCACAATCATTGACAGATCGCTGCCCCAACTCCATTCCGCTAAAGAAAAGGGGATGATCCTCACTTGTGAGGTGTTCTGTCTCCATGGTCTCCTGACAGACAGTCTCCAACAGGGGACCCCTATTGTGTCTATGTCTGCAGAGATTTCTGCTCTTTGTTGGGGATCTCTGTGAGCCTGTTGTTGGGTTTTCACCGCCAAATAGATGGTGAGACAGAGCGGGCCAATTGGGAGACTGAAACCAAGTGATGCATTTTGTGTGATTCTGTTCGCACCAAGTGGGCCAACCAACTTTCTTTTGGTCGAGCATGCTCTCTTTGTTTTATGTTGTGTTTGGGTTTCAGCCACCGGTGTTCACCATTCAGGAAAGACATTCTAAAGTTCCATTGGCCCATTTATCTGCTCTTAGCTGCCAGCAAGCCGGGCATAGGGCCAGAAAAGCAATTTGCAGTACATTGGTTAGTCAAGCCAAGGCTGCTAACTGCTGGAGAGTTCTGGCACCCGAATACTGGGGAGGCCAGAAAGTTTGGCTCTTCACCAAATATCTGCCTGTGAGGTTGGAGAGTAGGAAGCTGGCACCTCATTTCATCAGGCCATTTCCCATTACTAAAGTGTTGAACCTGGTGGCTGTCCGCCTCCAGCTCCCTCTTTCCATGAAGATCCATCCTATTTTCATGTGTCCTGGGTTAAACCTCTAGTCACTTCCAGGGTTTAATGGTTCATTCCATTTAAGAAGTAAGAGAGCAAACGTTTGCTCTCAGCATTTATCACTAGAACAAGACTCACCTGTTCTGAGATAGAATTGGTAAAGAAAGAATCCTCCTACAGCAGCGACCGACAAAAGAGGCACAAAAATAATAAGAACCCAGGCCCATGTTGGAAATGTCTCTGTAAAAACATCACAATATAATTAATATAATAAACACACATTGTTTCACACTTCTTTGACTTCTATTCATACTGAATTCATTTCTATGGACTAACCTAGACCCTAAACCTGACCTAAACTCAATTCACTCCTAAGTCTTAAACCAAACCCCCACTCAAGAAAACTTCCCATAGGGACCAGTCATTGATCCCCACAAGCACCTTTACGTCCCCAAAATGCAGGGATGGGACTAACGGCGTTGAAAGTAACGGCGTTACTAATGTCGTTACCTTGTTTTAGTAATGAGTAATCTAACTAATTACTTTGACTGTAACTATAACGCAGTTACCATTGCAGACACCCCGTTACTGCGCGTTACTCAGGTCGCTCAATGAACCTTTTTTCATGATAGGACTCGTGCGCGCCTTGTCATGAGAGAGGGGAGGATGAGAATGGCTGATGTATAGTGAGATTCCGTCTGTCAGTTGGGTAGGTGGGTGTTTCTGCTGGTGGGTGTTAACGTACAGCACACACAGAGAGATGGAGAGTCAGGAGGACTCCAGCAGCAAAACAGCGTTTTCCTGATGGAAATACCGCTGTTACGTCGAGCTGCGTTTCCCCATCAGATACGGTTTCCCCTGCATCTCCGCACAGCGCAGGCGGCACGATTCACCGCGCATGCTCGCTAAAGGCGCGCAACAGTTGCCCTGTGCTCGCGCCACAGGAGAACTATGGAGAGCGTGAAGGATCAAATGATATGGATGGATGGATGGATGGATGGATGGATGGATGGATGGATGGATGGATGGATGATGGATGGATGGATGGATGGATGGATGGATGGATGGATGGATGGATGGATGGATGGATGGATGGATGGATGATGGATGGATGGATGGATGGATGGATGGATGGATGGATGGATGGATGGATGGATGGATGGATGGATGGATGGATGGATGGATGGATGATGGATGGATGGATACTTTTCAACCTACTGTATTTTTTATTTTAAACATTATTTGATGGCCTTTGTGGCAGGGATGGAGATCCATATTTTATGTCACACACAGAGTATAGATCTAGATAGATAGATGTTGCAGTATCTATAACAACCCAAACACACAGGATTTCAGAATTAGACATCCACAGTTATTAATTTCATTCACTCACCAGATCTGAATGCCCTGTTAAGAAACTTCCCATGGCGTTCCCCCCCTGATGTCATTGACGTTGAGTTGCAATAAATGCTAAACTCTCTGCAGGTTCTTGTCTTTGTTGTCCGCTCTATTCAGCTGGCTTTGGAAACACACGGCGAGAAGGTGGGGGCCGGGTGGGGAGGGTTACGGGGCGAGAAACGCAAAAGTAACGCAATAGTTACTTTTACTAGTAACTAGTTACTTTTATTGTGGAGTAACTCAGTTAGTAACTCAGTTACTTTTTGGGAGAAGTAACTAGTAACTATAACTAATTTTTTATCTTTTTCAAAGTAACGTGCCCAACACTGCCAAAATGTAGCATTTTCCTGGGAAATTGTCCACACAGAATAATAAAAACATGGACACACACACATATTAATATGTAAATTGAATGAAGTGATGAAATATAGATACTTAAATAAAAACAGCAGCTATGAAGTACTATCATCGTTTCCATGTGGACATCATTTGCAAGCGTTTTCCCTCTAAAACAGATGGTAGCAGCAGTAATACTCTTAAATGAAATGTTCTAACACATCTTACAATCTCATATATTACATATTTTGTCTCTAATCCTTTGGGCAAACTATCCCTTTAAACTTATTCAAATAAACAAATAATAAACTTTTTATTTCACAGCACACACTGTGCTACAGATTTTTATCCTTTTTCTAACAGCCTTATGAACAGCTCTGACCTTCTGTGACGTGATGCAGAACGACTCTCTGTCTTAGGATGTCCTGGTCTCTGTAGATGGTGCAGATGTAGCTTCCACTGTCTCTCTCTGTGGGATACTTCAGGGTCAGACTCAGGTCTCCAGTCTGCAGCAGATCTACGTTCATCTGTGTGCGACTGCAGTAAAGATCTTCCTGTCTTTTGTAGTGGTGACTTGTATTTGGAAACACGTGAACGAAGCCAAAATATGGCTCAGAACGAGTCCACTCCACCTGCGTCTCCTTATTCAGGACAGCTTTGGTTCTACAGGGCAGAATAACAGACTCCGCCTTTTCCTTCACCTTCACCTCAGTGAGGCTGTCTGAGGGAAAAAACACAACATAAAAATTCACATACTGCTAACATCTACTTTACTTTTATATTAATACGAGTTTTAATGTCCACTAACATCTGCCTAGTATTTATTTTCTTTAGGGCAAACATCTGGTTGGCTGATTGTAAGCAATGAAGAAATATAAGGCTGGAGTAAATCCAGAGAGGAGATAGTAGAAGCTGGTAGTTCATCTTCAAAGGAAATAACCTATTTTTTGTATCTGCACCAGAGGAACTAGACATAAAGAGAAAAGAAAAGGAACAATAATTGTTCAGCTGTCCAAAATTCATATTTTGAATTTTGGACTCCGGGTTTCTTGTTTGTTTTTTTGGACTTTTTTTTTTATTTTTGGATTCTTGGTTGCCTGTTTGTTTGGACTTTGTTTTTTCAGTTACTCTACATTAAATCAACCATAAATCACCTCTGCCTGCCTGCCTCTGGTTTTGGGTCCTCAAACCACAAACAAATCCTGACAGAAGGACCCAGCCAAGATGGACCCAGCAGAGCCACAACAGGTACAGGTAACTGAATTTCTCAAACTCCTAAGACAAACGATAGACAATCTTTCTTCCATCTCCAACTGCTGAAAAAATACTCAATGAACTCCTAAGATATCCAGAATTCCAGACCTTCTACCATCAAGCAGGATACATAGCTCAGGTTAAACGGAACATTCAGGACACCTACGCTAAGCTTTTCAATAAATCTTCCTCCAGGTGTAGGAACCGCCGCCGGGGAAAGAAGGCCACTCCCTCTCCGGCGGGTCAGCCCGACGCCACCTCCTCTCCTCCGGTGGGTCAGCCAGCAGCTAGCCTCAGTCCCCTTCATCACCAGATCCCGGTTCAGAGCCCTTCAGCGGGCCAGTTTCCTTAGCTCCAGAGCCCATTAGCGGTCCAGTTTCCAGGGACCCCTGAGCAAGCCCTGTGCCGTCCAGAGACCCCTGAGTACGTTTATGAAGAGGTCTCAGAGTTAGAGCTTGGTGGGAGTGCCTCTCCAAGAGCCCTCAGTGGGCGCTCCAAGCCCCCTAGAACCCTCAGTGGGCGCTCCTCGCCCCCTCAGAGGCTGTTCCTGAGCCGCAGTGGGCGGCCCCCTCCGAGGTTGTTCTTGAGCCGCAACGGGCGGCCCCCTCCATGGTGGTTTCTGTGCCGCCGTCAGCTGCACCCTCCGAGGATGTTCCAGTGCCACAGTGTTCCAATTGCTGAGACAGCGCCCCCCCAGCGCAGTTGCAGCTTCTTCAGAGACGGCACCACCCAAGGTGGTTGCAGCTGTTTCAGAGACACCGCCCCCCTAGGTGGCTGCTGCTGCTGCATCAGAGATGGCTTCCCCCAAGGCGGCTCCTGCAGCAGCACAGACTGCGTCCCCCTCCTAGGCTGCTGCAACAGAGACCGCGTCCCCCTCCTATGCCGCTGCAACAGAGACGGTCTCCATCTGAGGTCCTCCTTCGTCACCGCCCTCCCCCAGAGGTCCTCCTTCATCTCCGGCCCCACGGCCAGCTTCCAGAGACTCTGCCTCGCCCCCGGCCCCTCGGCTGCGCTTGTATATTCATAAAATACAGGTAAAATATCACGACACCAGTTATTTCTAAATTTGCTGAAAATATTAAGTCTAATTTCCTTTGCTGACCTTTGACCTCCAGCTGAACCTGTGTCAGTTTTAGCTCTACTCTTCCATCAGAGATGGTGCAGGTGTAGTTTCCACTATCAGACAGGTGAGGTTTTCTCAGAGTGAGGCTGAAGTTTCCAGTATCTAGAAGGTCAGGATTCATCCAGGTCCGTTTTCTGTAAAGCTGGTTCTGGTCTGAATGATCAGCTCCTTCTTCTCTTTGTCGGTGGATGATTTTAGGGTTGAGATCATTTCGAGTCCATAAAACTGAGGGGTTGACTTCAGGTATATCATCTGAGTACCGGTAGGGCAGCTGGACAGACTCCGCCCCTTCATGCACCTCTACTATCCCAGCCAGGGAATGATGGGAAACTGTGGAAAAACAAACTTAAAATTTGATCAGGACAGGCTTTTCTAAAAAAAACAACAACAAGAGGTCTGCTGAGAAGGAAGAACACAGAAGAAGGAACATCGTCATTCCAGATGTTGCTGGAGACTCTAAAAAATTCAGGAGGATTTTCATCCAGCATCAAATCCCTGTACATTTCAAACCTAGCAACACCCTGAGACAAAAACTGGTTCACCCCAAAGACAAAACACCCAGAAACAAGACTGACGGCGTGGTTTACGGTGTTCAGTGTAGTGAAGAGTGCACAGACCTGTACATTGGACAGACAAAGCAACCACTGCACAGGCACATGGCTCAATGCAGGAGGGACAACTGCTCAGGTCAGGACTCAACTGTTCACCTATACCTGAAGGCTAAATGACATTCGTTTGAGGACAACAGCGTCCATATTCTGGCCAAGAAGATAGATGGTTTGAGAGAGGGGTTAAGGAATTACTCTTTGTTAAGCTGAAAAAAACCATCTCTCAACAAAAAAGGTGGTCTTAATTCAATTAAATTCTATTCAGTTTATTTCTATAGCTCCAATTCACATCATGTCATCTCAGGTCACTTTCCAGTTCACCAGATCATCCAGTCAGATTGATTCTTGGTTTTCTATCTAAGGAAAACCAGCTGATTGCATCGACTCATTGACTCTTCAGCAATCCCTCACACTAAGCATGCTTGTAGCGACAGTGGAGAGGAAAAACTCACTTTGAACAGGAAGAAACCTCCAGCAGAACCAGGCTCAGTGTGAGCGGCCATCTGCTGAGGCCCACCGGGGTTCAAGGAGACAGAAGCAGACATAGAAAAAGAAGCATAGATACAAAAGGCAACTGTCAACCAGCTCCACAGGCGGCCCCGTCCAGGAAACACACAGCCAGGCAGACGAGCTCCGAGCCAGCTCCCATGTCAGAGGATGAAGAGAGCACATCCAGTTAGTCACAGTCAGAGAAACAGGACTACACTGGAAAACAGGCCAAGCTCCAACATCTAGAAACAAAGGAACAGACCAGATGAAGCTACTATGAGAAAAAGCAGTTATTCTTTTCATTTTCATCAGAACTCTGGCTGCAGCATTTTGGATCAGCTGAAGGCTTTTAACTACAGTTTGTGGACTTCCTGATAGTAAAGAATTACAATAGTCCAGCCTTGAAGTAACAAATGCATGGACTAGTTTCTCAGCATCACCCCTGGACAGGAGATTGCTCATTTTTGCAATATTCCTCAGATGAAAGAAGGAAATTCTAGAAACCTCTTTGATCTGGGATTTAAATGACAGGTCCTGATCAAAAATAACACCAAGATTTTTTACTTTATTATCTGAAATCAGTTTAATCCCATCCAAATGAAGTGACTGACTAATCAGTTTCTTTTTCAGAGACTCTGGTCCAAAGACTATAACTTCTGTTTTGTCTGCATTCAGAAGCAGAAAGTTAAGAGTCATCCAGGTTTTTATGTCTTCAGACATGCCTGTAATCTATGTAATGCTATGATGAGCTCTAAAGCCAGACTGAAACTCTTCAAAAAGTTCATTATGGTGGAAGTGATCGCACACTTGTTTGGCAACTACTTTCTCAAGAATTTTGGATAAGAAAGGAAGATTGGATACAGGTCTATAATTGACCAAGTCATCTGGGTCAAGAGACGGTTTCTTAAGCAGAGGTTTAATTCCAGCAACCTTAAAAGCTTTAGGTACATATCCCTGTAACAGAGATAGATTAATCACATCTAGAATGGAGGAGGAGATCAAAGGGAATACCTCCTTAAATAACCTGGTTGGAACTGGATCTAACATCCAAGTTGAAGGCTTAGATGAAGACAATAATTTTGCTAACTCTGAAAGTTCAACTGGATCAAAGCAGTCTAAACCCGGTTCAGTTTCCATGACTACCTCAGATGCTGCCTCACCCTCCAGAGACAAACCAATCGCAGATAGAGGAGTGCTAATGGTCTTATTTTTAATAAAATCAATCGTATTTATAAAGAATCCCATAAAATCATTGCTGCTAAGAGCAGGTGGAATGGACGGTTCAACAGAGCTATGGCTCTGGGTGAGTTTGGCAACTGGATTAAAAAGAAATCTAGGATTATTCTTATTCTCCTCTATTAATGAGGAGAAGTATGCTGCTCTTGCTTTACAAAGGGTCCTCTTATATAGCAGTAAACTATTTTTCCAGGCTAGGTAGGATTCCCTTGGGCATATAGAGAATCATTTACTCTCTAGTTTCTTAGAATTTTGCTTCAAAGTGCGTTGCTCTGCAATAAACCAGGGAGCCATCTTTCTATTTCTAAAATTTTTCTTTTTCAAAAGGGCTGCGTTGTCTAAGGCAGTACACAGAGAAATAGCAACTCCATCACCTTTGGAGGGGAATAAACTAATCTTTTGCACTTTGCAGCACTGCTCAGCGACACAGAGGAGAGAGAAAGTGAAACAGATTCTTTAAAATTCATAAATGCACTATCTGATAATGATGTGTGTAGTGGCAATCTCTCTTCATTTTCCAAAATACCACTTAGAGCTGCAGACAAAGTAAGTTCTTCACTTGCAAGACATGACAAGTTCTTCAAGTTTTGATGTCTTTACTTAGAAATAAAAGGGTTACAAAATCAGAAGGCGCACGGTAAGAAAACGTTATGCTCCCATGCCTTGCGCAGCTCAGCCAAAACAGGCCCTGCACGTTTTCATATTCTGTCTTTTCTGCTTTATGGCTCTTACAATCTGCTAAAGTGAAACCTTCTTTTTGGGGAAGGAGAACTCTGATAAAGTAATACTGAAGGTTATTAAAAAGTGGTCAGAGAGGACAGGGTTGTGACTGGCAGTGCCATGTCTCAAAGATGAAAGAGCAGATCAAACAGAACAAGACTGATCACTCATGTGTACATCATTTACAGATACATTTAATGGGGAACACCATTTTTTTTTTTACATTGGGCCCTTGATTTAATGTTATTCCATCATGTTCTACTCACGCATATGAGTTTTGTGTCATTTGGAGCCGTTCTGAAGATATTCGGTTAGGTTATATCCAAGTAACCTCTTCCTATGGGCAACGAACATCAATGCGCTGCCGGCTACCGTTCATTCATCCTGTCCGCTGAACTGCTGCTAGTTTTCCTTACATGTCTGGAAGATGTCTAGTGCTGCTACCACAGATGATCTCGCTCTCCAGATGGAACTGAATGATTCAGATTAGCTATCCCAATGAATAGAAGGGGTAGGGCATGTCAGGAATCCAGTTTGTGTGATCTCTTTTTGTGTTTCCTTTCCTCCTCCACCAGGCGGCGCCCCGTCCTCCTTGGGTCTCCCTGCACACCTGCAGCTCGTTGCCTCATTACCTGTGGAGTGCTCTTAAGCTGCTGACTGCCACTAGCTCGAGGCCAGAGTGTTTGCCAATACTGGGCTCTCTAGCCATGCTTAGTTTAGCAGAGTCTAACCTGAGTCTTTGTTTGCCAGTTTTGGATTCTCTAGCCAAGCTGAGTTTTTCTGAGTCAAACTGAGTTTTTGTCAACGCGAGTCTTAGCTTCATTTTTTGTCTTTGCCTCTCAGCAGGAAGTCAACCTGCAAACTGGATTTGTTCAGACCTTCTCTCTCTGGAAGGATCAACTGAGCTTCTAACTGAGCTGGGGATCCAAACAGGAAGTTTGGATCAACTTTCCCCAAGAGGTCGTTTGAGCTTCACACCAAGCAATGGTTTCTTCTTCACTACAGCCCATTCAGGTACTGCAGGAAATCTGAGTGGCAGTCAGCTTCTCCATTCACCAAGGAACAACCGCAGTCTGAGTAACCCATCACCAAGCAAGACAATCTCTGGAACATCCTCTCAGTATGGATTCCATAAAGGACATCTTTCCCTGGAGAATCCCTGTTGAGCAGTGCTCAGAGCAGCACTGGATTCATCACTTTATTCCTAAAATAAACCTATTTTTCAACTTTTCCCTGGTCTCTCTGTTTGGTCTTCTGCATCTTGGGGTCAGACCAGGGGAGGATCTAGGATCCTAGGAGATCAGGGGCTTAGCCCCAAGGGTGAAGATGAGAGAGTAGACTTTCTTCTAAATCCCGTTCTAATGTAAAATATGATAGATTACTGGATTAAAGAAATTTCTACTATACTACATGCTATCACACATAACAATTCCCCCTCGATTACATGGGAAGAAATTAATTCACCTGCAAGTCTTTAACTGTGTTTATCACTCTCTTCATCAACAGCAAACTCTGTGGATTTGGTCAAATTTGATCATTATTTGCCAAAGTTATCAGAGGGAAATCATATATTTTAGCCGCCTGATAGAATCCGTTTCCCCATAACATGGGAAAAAAAATAAACAAATCCAGTGAAACTGTCATTATTTTTCATATATCATGTTTAAAACATTTATTATTTTATATTTTTAAATCCAAAATAGTTGTTGGATTATCTTTATTTAATGTATTTTAATTCTCAATTCCAAATGTCTGCAATAGCATTGCTGCAGACATTTGGAATTAAGAAACATCTTCAAACTTGGAAAACAATGTCCAGGGGTTTTGGTTTGAACTTTTTTTTTTTATATTTATGAATTGTTAGATAAACATTTAAACAGAAATATATTTCATAAAGATAATCAAAGGGGGAACGGATTCTATCAGGGGGCTAAAATATAGGATTCCCCCCTCATAACTTTGGCAAATAATGATCAAATGTCACTAAATCCAGAGGATTTGTTGTTGATGAAGAGGAATAAACACAGTTAAAAATGTGCAGGTAAATTAATTTCTTCCCATGTTATGGAGGAGGAACAGATTATTTCAGGCAGCTGAAACATCAAGTCTCTCCTCCTCCCGTATCTTTGGGAAGTAAAAAGCATCTGTTTCCAGATTCTCAAAAATTGTTTGTGTGATATCATGTAGTAAACTGGGAATGTCCTTAATCCAGTAATCTGTCATATTTTACTTTAGAACGGGATAAATCAGAAAGTCTACACTCTCATCTTTTCAGGAATATTTGTGTCCTGCTATCAGCCAGTTTCCATCCTCTGATATCAGCAATGAAAAATGATTAATACTCACTACTGTTGGAAAACTGTTTGGTGACTGACTTTTATTTCTGTCAGGTTTAAGTGACAGAAGTTGGAAAAAGACGATTTTCTTGGCGTTTAAAATAACACAAAATAGCTTTAAAGCACCTCGTCTATTTATTTATTTTACAATTTTGTAAACAACAGCTGCTGATTAAACTGGATGTTGCAACCGTGACGTGATTATAGCTGATTTTAGCGAGAAATCGATCAGACGCGTCGTGAAAATGCTCCCATCCGCCATGTCCGCCTCTCTGGCTTCAATGCGATTCCCGAAATAAGGTGAACAGAATTTCATACACCACCGGGACGAACAACGTCTGGAAGTCAGTCAGAGCTTCACATCCCTGGAACATCAGTCTGTTTAGCAACAGCCATTGGTGAGAACTTCTTCTTCTGCACGGGAATGCTACGGGCTGCTTTCCTGCCTTTGCTGCCACCATCTGGTGAAATCCAGTACTGCACATTTTACTCAGATCAGCTCAGAAGCGAGATCTGGGGCTCTAGGGGAAACATCCGGGGCTGCAGCCCAAGTAGCCGCCCCCTAGATCCGCCACTGGGTCAGACCTTAGTTAAATCATGACAGAGCATAGCCGCCTGTGGCCCGGGCTGCCTGTCACAACTCCAGTCCGACGCACGGATGATGTCATACATACGCCGCTTTGTTTAAAAAAAATATAACTTTAGAAAATTAAACGGCAGATGTCTGGGGGACAGGGATTCGCCTAAATGTTGTGAATGCTGCCGTACCATAAAGAATAAATGATGAACAGTTCCTTCAAGTCGTTGCCCATAGGAAGACGTTACTGGATATAACCTAACGGAATATCTTCAGAACGGCTCCAAATGACACTAAACTCATATGGGAGAGTAGAACATGAAGGAAAAATGGAAAATCAAGGGACCAATGTAAAAAAAAAAATGGTGTTCCCCTTTAAAACTGGGAGGCCAATTAAGCTAATTAACTGATTAACCGGAGTGTGGTTCCCAATGGGTTAGCAACATGGACGGGTTGGTGGTGACCAGTAGGCAGAGATCCACGACTACAGTTCTGCGTCCCGTTATCCAATCACCTGGCTGCTCAGGCACTTTTGGAGGACTACTACATGGGGGTGTCACTGGTCTTGGTGGCTCCAGGCACTTAACAAGAGGCCTTAAGCCGGAATTTTAATTCTGAGACCCTCGCCTCCAAAGCTACACAAATACTACAGTTACAAACCAACCACATCTAAGCCAGCATTGCTCCCAGTTTTGGGAGTCATGGAGCTATGGATGGCGATTGGTTGCTGTCCGCAGAGTTTAAGATAAGGTGAGATAATGTTCTGGAAAGCAGTCAGGAGCAGCAGGGAAGTTAGAGAATGAACTGCAGTAGAGAGAGAGTCAGAACTTGAAATAAAGAATTACAGAGGGAGATCAGAGGAGGACAATGGTAATCAAAGTCCGTTGAACAGTATGCACCAGACCGGAGGGAGGCGGCGGCTGGCCTACACTAAGAGAGGACAACAAAAATGCAGGCTAAATGAAGTTTTTCTTTAAGCAACCTAAAAACCTCTTAAGAGTATTCCCTACTTCATCATGTATCAACATTATTGTCTCTGTCTTCCATTTTCAATGAAAAAAAGTTTGTCTTCGCTGCCCTCCCTCAAGATCCGTGTCACATTGAGATCTAGTCCCTGTTTGGTTTTGTAATAGCAATAAAAACAAAAGTTAATCATTTCTTCGCTGTATTCACCAAAAACTTGCTATTCGCCTCATTAGAATTGCGACCTTGACCTTGCTCTGCCTCACAGTGCTCATGAGCCACAATCTACATAAGGGTAACATGTAAAGCTTTTGCTCCGGCTGCAAAATTCACCATAAGAGGTGTGTTCCCACTAATATTCTTGGTTGTCTTTGTAAGCAAAGACATTTAAATAAAGTTCTTTAACAGTAATAAAAACAGAAATAACATGCAGATTTAAAAAAAAAATTGGAACCATGCATGAAGTACTGCAAAACAAAGGGAGAGATGGAGAATGAGGCAGAATAATATAGGAAACCAAACTTAATCGAAGCATATATATAATGAGGGACAATATGTCCTGATTAAACTCAGGTGAGTTAATCAGGAAATAATTTGAGGCAGGTTGGAGAGGAGAGACTGAGGAAGGGAGCATTTGGAGCAAAAGTGGGGAACACAGAGGCTTCTAACCAACCTGACAAAACACTGAACTGATAGAAACTGATCCAAATCCAAATCGCAATCCAAAAAACAAAACAAAAAAGAACAAAAACTAATAAGGAAGTACCCGTGGGGTCACAATTAGAAACATAAAAACTAAAATCCAAGCCTCTGATTTGGAAATTTGATGACAGAAAATGTAATATCTGAACATTTCTGACATTTTCACAGATGCAGTGGATTAATGTTGGATTCAAGAAATTTCCAAACAGAACAAATGGCAGAGGAACAGTGTCGCACATTTCAGATCATCATTCAATATGCAGACGCTACAAAAAGGTATTGAAATTCTCCTGTGGTTAATTTGAACAGAAGCTGATCTTACCGTAAAGAAAGATCCCAAACACCACCAGCATCTTTATCTCCCTGTCAGGAACCAACAAGATCAAACTAAGAGAAACTTAAAAACTCCTGGAGGACATCAACTCCAACTGTTGATCATCATGGAACTCCTCGCTGTCTCCAAAACCTACAGGGCTGGCAGTTCCCACATGAAGGAGCTTGAGTGAAGAAGGATTTCCTCATAGTTTCACATTAAAAGTGAGCAACACGTCAACAACTAAGAGGGAAGATTTAATCATCTGATTAACCTGTTCATCCAGTTTCATGTTTATCTTTCGATGTTGGCAGTGTTATATGCAGGGCTTGTTTCCTGTTTGCTCTATGGCGTGTGGCATCGAGGCTGCCAGGTCCCTATCATACGTTGATTCCAAAATAATCATATTCTTCCCAGATTCACAGAAATGAATTCTTCCCACTCATGTTTGTGTTGCAGTCCATTATTATGGGATGCATAAAAAAAAACACTTCTTATATTTGCCACCCTTACATTGCAAGACCCACCTGTTCTACCAGAAATCCAAAATTTCTTAAAGCCACAGTGTGTAATTTTCAGCTACATCTAATAGTCCGACTGCAGACTACAGGGACATTAACCCTGAGCTGCCGTAGTGCAAAAGATGTCTGTCTTTACATATGCTAATCCACTCTGATGTAATTATAAATAACACTTTCAAAGACAAATACAAACGTAAAGATGAGACTCTCAGTTCATACGATATAATAGATATACATATAGAGGTTATCTATACCATTTATCCCAGTAAATCCCTGTTATTATTACATACTGTTGTTGGGGTTTTGGGATTAGGGTTCCTTCCTCATGCTCAAAGGTTACCTGCGGAGTACCACAGGGATCTGTGCTAGGACCAATTCTCTTTACTTTATACATGCTCCCAATCGTTAGAGTTATTACACAGCATGGGATTAATTTCCACTGTTATGCTGATGATACCCAGCTATATCTGTCTATAATCCAGATGAAGCTAACCTATTACATAGATTACAGGCATGTCTTGAAGACAGAAAAACCTGGATGACTCTTAACTTTCTGCTTCTGAATGCAGACAAAACAGAAGTTATAGTCTTTGGACCAGAGTCTCTGAAAAAGAAGCTGATTAGTCAGTCACTTCATTTGGATGGGATTAAACTGATTTTTCTTCCTCTCTCCTCAGCGGGGTTGGACGGCAGGTGCTCTTCATCTAGCTGATTACCACCCTTCTTAAGGAGCGTGAACCAGGAGGAGGTCGTCAGTTCGTTAATGCTCCTGCGTCATACTAACTGATCCTTAACCAAGCCTTGCTTCTAAAATGTAACCAGATCCTAACCCCGCTCTTTGTTTGCTCCTTCTCAGAACCCTGGATCACAAGCCCAAAATACTCCACAGAAACCTCTCACTCTGGACTCTGCCAGAGACATTTCCAGTCAGCCACCAGGAACCAATGAGGCTACGGGCCTCTGAACTGCTTAAAGCCCTCTTCCCTGAGCTCACCTGCCTAGCCACCCCCTGACACCACCATCAGATCTCACCAACCGGACCTGATAATAAGGTCATGCCCTGCAGGGACCCCAGGGGCTGAAGCATGACAGGACAGGCTGCAAAGAGCAGCAGCACACTGAGCTGCCTGCGGGGGGCGCTGTGCTCGGCTATTAGATGTAGGAAATCTGACTTTTAATTTTGTTGAGCAAACTGTTGCACTGATCAACGATGACTTCTAGGGAGAAAGAAACTTATTTATTCACCTTCTTATGGCCAAACTTTGTTGGTTTTAAACTGTTCAAAGTTTCTTACTGTTTTTACTTTAGCTTTTCATAAGATTCAGAAAATATGAGTATAATTATAAACATTATAGTTGTTTTTTCTTTGTTATTAAAATGAATGATCGATTTCCCGTATTACCCACATTTTTATGTCACAAAGTTGTTACTTGAAGAACCAGTTCAAATGTGAATAAATTAATTTTAAAAAATGTATATGCAGGGCTGGGTAATATGGCTAGATACACAACCTTTATTTTCTACTAAATCAATGAATCCGTTTTTTTCTCCCTGAAGTTACATTAGAAAAAATTACAAATGATGTGCATTAATTTCAAAAGCTTTTATTTCATCTTCTCTGGAAGTGACCTTTGCCTCTTTAGCTGGTGAGTCAATTTTAAAGAAACACTAGAAAAAGCTGTTTCGGAGAAACAGCAAGTGGGAATGCTTTTGCTGAATGAAAAAAGATGAAATTACCTGAAGAACATATGAAAATGTGATAGGAAGTCATCAGAAACTTCAAACTGCAGAAAACAATTGAATCATCTGAAGACTTTGTAGGGTAGAATCATTTGGCAGTAAAATGGCAGATACAAACTCATCTTAAAAGCTGCACAGCCAAACCATACATGATTTCAAAAAATGTCTTGAATGTGGGCACTACAAGGGTCTTAATATAATGTCTCCCAAGTTTCTAGAAAAATGTATAAAGAAATTTTGAAGGGGGGCCACCTACTGCCCAGAAACATGTCAGGCGTGTTATGAATTAGCAGCAAACAGAAAAGCTTAATTCCTGTTCAGAAAGAGAGCAGAATGAAGCCAAAGTTCACAGCATAGGCTGAAAAGTATTAAATTAGCTGAATCAGAAAAGAAATTACAAAGAAAAACTTCAATCTTATCTGGTTCAAGAAAAAATGAGTAGCTTAAGGGTGGGAAGTAAAATGTTGAGGAAGATGGTATTAATTAATAAGTATCAATATTTTGAAATCATATGTGGAAATGTCAAGACTTGGCAAAACAATTTGAAATGATTTAAAATGCGTCAGTTGATCAGCATAAAGAAAACAGTGTCATCCTTAGAGGATTGAAAATCTAAAAAACTATGTGCAAGACCGACCATGAGAAGCAGAGGAAGGACAGAGAGTGAAGCTTATGGAAAGAGGGCTAATACCACTGAGGAGCTGAATTTATCAAAAAAACTAACCTGCATGTTACGAGCAGCTGTGTTGATGAAAGCACCGTTGGCAGGCTTAGGCTGCATGTTACGAGGTTAGCAGATGCTTTATTACAGTGTAAATCTTAGAACCTGGTTAAGAAATATGCACTGAGGTGTGTGGTCAACAGGCCTTGGTAGTGTAATTTGAAGAAATTGGTTGAGTTTGGGTCATAGCTACGAGCCATACGGCACAATGAATGAGTGTGTGTAAGGAAGAGGCTTTTATTTTGTAGAGCCCCTTTAGTCTTATTTCGAAAGTCTATCATGGATGTGTGTCAAGGGAAGGGTCATGCCCAGCAGTGATATAGAATCCATTTCTAAATATGAAATCACTGGTTTTCCATGTTATTGGGTGAATAGATGCTGTATTAGAGCGTAAATGGGAGACTTTTATTGTGAAATTTGCTCTGGGGTATGTTTTGAAAACGTCCCTAGAGTCTAATAGAAACAAGCTGGCAGAGTTTGGGTCATAATCCTGAGCCATTTGCATCAATTAATACGCGAGTATAATATAGAGGCTTTTATTGTGTAGGGTCACTGGAGTCTTATTTTGAAAGTCTAGCAGGGTTGTGTGTTGAGAAAAGGGTCAGACCCAGCAGTGATACTTGATGACTTTCCAATCGTTAAATCACTCTTTTCCCTTGTTATTAGGGCAGTAGATAAAGTGGCAATGGGAGGCTTTTATTTTGAAATTTTCTGTGGGGTGTGTTTTGAAAACCCCCTAGAGTCTAGTGGTTGAGTTTGGGTCATAATGTTGAGCCATATGCTGGGAAAAAAATATGAGTTTAATGTAGGAGCTTTTATTTTGTAGGGGTCCCCGGAGTCTTATTTTGAAAGTCTATCAGGGTTGCATGTGAAGGGAAGGGTCATGGCCAGTAGTCATATAGTATCCATTTCCAAATGTTAAATCAGTGTTGTCTCCCTCCATTAGATTAAAATGTGCTGTTTAAAGTGGCAGAGGTAAAATCCCTTTGAAGCTTGGTTACCTTGACAACGCTTAACGAGCCTGTCAGTGAAAGAGAGAAACGCGCTTCACTTTCGTTCCTTTCCTCTCAGGCTTTTTTGAATGGGAATGTCATCTCCGAACAAACAAGTGCTGAAGACAAACTGTAAATGGTATCTAAAAAATGATTTCAGTCTAAGCGACAGCTATCCTTTGTCTCCAATTGAGGTAACTTTCATGGCTGTAGCTCATTCACAGCCTTAATGGGAAGGAGAAATATCAAGGTTTGTAAATCCTGTTGGTCTCATTAAATAACATGCAGCTCAATGGTAGAGCAGAAGTCTGAAAAGCAAAACTTTCCCTGCGAACAAACGAGCGGTGAGCCAAAACCGTAAAAGGTATTCAAAAAATTATTTCACCGTTGGCGTCAGCCATCCTTCGGCTTCGACTGTGCCAACTTTCATGTTTCTACTAAAAACTATTTGGCCACGGTGACAATGTAAAAATGTGTTTTTTCTGAGTATGAGGATTTTTCGCAGAATCAACGTTTTCCTATGCCCGAACAAGTCAGCTAAACAGCTAAACCATAAATGATATTGAAAAAATTCCTTCAATGTAAGTGCTAGAAGGGTCTGAAGATGTTCTATACCAAGTTTCATGTTTGTACATCAAACAGTTTAGAAATGGGAGCGATACGAAAATATGTATCGTTTTGGATTTTGTCTGTGATTTTTGGAAAGTCTCTCATTGGATTTCTATTGAGGAAGTGTGGACTTCTTCGTGGTCTGGGCCAACCTGTCGGAAAACTGTAAATGCCACACAAATGAGGGTTACATTTCCTGAATCCTGACAAAAATCCCTACGTTTTGATTTATAATTTATTTCAATTGAGTGAAAAATGAGGGAGTGAGAAGAATTTGTTCGGAAAAACCAGAACAACTCAAAAGCTAGAGCACGCACTCTAGCAGTTGAAGAATTCCGTTCATAGACTTCCATTATAAATCTGAAAATCTTTAAATTTTCTTTTAAAGTTTGAAGCTTCACTGAAGCAAAACTGTAAAAGTTAGCAAAAAGCTGAGTTAAACAGTAATAGCAGAAAGATACGGAAACAATTTAAAAGTTGAATGGTGTTTCTAGCTGAAAGTATGCTGAAGTAGTTAAAGATCGAAGATGAAGAAGTTTTAGCTGAATTTTGCTGAAATCTAACAATTCTACATGCATTTTAATGAGACAAAAAAACGCAGAAAAGATGAATATCGTGAAAACTACAAAAAATATCTTTACCAAAAGACATAGCACAATTCTCCTGAACAAGCTGAACGTTTTGATACCAAAATTGTTGAAATCGGTTGAAAACTGCAGGACTAGTTAGAGTCAGAAAAATTTTAAGTGAACAACAATAAGTGGGAATGCATAAGCATTCCCACTTGATTATACAATAAATAGACCCTGGATTTAAGGTTTTAATTTAAAAGGTAGTGAAATTCAAACTGTGGGACGTGCTTCTAAAACCACCAAAAAATGAAAATATAAGCCAGCAAATGCTTGCAGCTGTTGATTCATACAGTGAGCTGGTTTATCAGAGATATGAGAGCAAAGAGGGACGAATTAGGCTTAAAGGAGAACATTGGTGGAAAAAAAAAATCCAGTTTTTATAAAGAATAGAAAATGTGATAAATCAGCAAAAACGATTCCTGATTCCTTCATCCTGGCCTCCAGACGCTGGGCAGGAAGGAAAGCTCTGAGACTTCAGAGGCTTTACTAAAACACTGATAACTTTAACATTTGGAAATCATTTTTGCTATAATGCAGACTGGTTAATCAGGCATCAGAAAGGTCGGATCAGTGGAATCGCTTCTTGTCCTGAAGTCCTCCTGTTGGTCCTGGTCCTGGTCCTGGTCTCCCCCTGCAGAGACAGAACTCCATCAGACTGAGCAGACGAGAGCCACAAACCAACTGGGATGAATTGATAACTTACCAATCATCCGAATTTGAACAGTTTTCTCTTGCAGGATCATTCCCTGCTTTCCAGAGATAACACATTTATATTTTCCATAATCATCCTCTGTGATGTCGTCCATGGTCAGAGTGAGGTCTCCAGTTTCCAGCAGATCTTCATTCATCTTGGTTCCCTTTCTATATGTCTGCTGGTGTCCAGGTGGGTCACATCCTTGTCCTACTGCACAGACAGTTCTGCATCCCTGCAGAAGCTCAGGTGTCGTCTGGAAGGGAAGCTGGACAGACGCACCCTGCACCTCCACCTGGCACTCTAAAACCAGATCAAAACATGCTTTATACATCGGCCAAATAACCTTTACAGCAGGGGACATAGCAAAGCATCTTTAACGTTACATCAAAAATTATTTAGCGATTATGGAAATCAACTATCATCATCTGATGAATTTTACAAAAATGAGCAATCTCCTGTCCAGGGTCGATGCTGAGAAACTAGTCCATGCATTTGTTACTTCAAGGCTGGACTATTGTAATAACCAACGGGGGCCAGTTCATGATCATGTCCTGGCCCCTGTTATGGCCCCTGTACTGACAACATAATACTTAAAGAAATTCAAATGATCATCTGCGCTGGAACAGACATGGTTACTGATTGGTCCTTTGGATCCATCTCATTTTTTTTCTTTACAAATTCTGTTTTACTAATTATTCAAAAACAATAAGGTGATAGCTTCAGTGGTGCTGAGATAGGATCCCAGTTTTCATCCGTCAAATGTTTTTTAATAGGAAAAAAATGCTCTAATTTTTATAGATGAATTTAAGAGTTTTTCTTGAATTCTAATCTAAATTTGATAGAAAATGGTAGTTTTAACTTAAATTAAGTCAAAAATATGTAAAATTCCTAAATAATAAATGTATATTGACCTCACATTTGGCATGTGAACAATGGACTGTACTTTTGTGAAGTGAAGTTGAATGTAAACTGTATGTAAAATTTGTGCAAATTAAGGAACAAGTGGGGGTGTTGACATCTGTGTCCCTAATTGATCCTCGTATCCACTTTCGGATGTGGGCGTGGCTACACACAGGTGTGCAATCATCAATAAATGGCGGCAGGTCATTCATAAAAATGATCGCATGCAGGCCAAAGAAAAATCCATGTCTGTGTGTCGTTATCTTGCCTTTGTCTTAAACCGGCTGATCAGCTCTTGTGGCGATGGCTGCGCCAACAAAATACTAATCCAAACCACTGACCTTTGACCCGTAGCTTCACTCGTTTCTTCATCAGGATGGTCGTGTCTTCTCTGTAGGCTTTGCAGGTGTAGAATTTATTGTCCCAGTCTGTGGGATACTTTATAGTCAGACTAAAGTCTCCTGTTTCCTTAAAGCCTGTCTTTAATTCTGTTTGATGTCTGTAGGTATAGAACTGTTCTTCAGGGGGGTGTTTGTCACGGTCGTATCTATGGACCATCCTGCCTCTGCTGTTCACCCACACCACTTCAGTGACCTCACACTTCAGCTCATCTTTGAGTTTACAGGGCAGCTCAACAGACACTTCCCCTGGTTCCACCACCTCAGGGACTGAAAGAAACAAAGGATTACACTTCTGACTTTTTGAGAATATTTTCTCTGACTGTAAAACAGAGCCGTGCAGAGCGCCGGGGGCCTAAAGAAAAGAACAGGCACATATATAATCAGATTACTTGTCCAAATATTAGCTAGAATCTTAAACATTTAACAGTTCAGTGCACTGAGGCATAATGGAAATAGTAAGCATTGAGATTTATAATTGGAAGAAACCTGTGGAAAACCATAACATAGAAGACACCACCCTACATCTGAGTATTAATTACTTTAAAACAATCAGAATTTCAGTCTGCCTTTTCATTATAGTTGCTGACTGTGATGCGAGCAGACCAAACACTCCCATGCCTCTTTAAAGTCGTAGGGAAGCGGCCATTCCAACCGTATTAGCATTTCCGAATTCTCCCGACTGGTGCCCGACTTTACACGAGTGAATAAAGTGAATGTGATTGGTCGATTATCAAGGGGGCAAGATTGTTGTGGCAGAAGGTTCACAAGCTTATTTGGTTGTGGCCGATTTATCAGAAGCATCTTGCTAACCAGTTAGCATCTTAGTGCTAGCAGGTTCCCAATGGGAAATTCCATTGGGACCAAGTAGCACTAAATTGGTGACTTAGAAACGACGCTGTCAAGGAACGCTATGGACAGCGGAAACATGCAAGAGGAGGAGAGTTTCCATAAATGGTGCATTGGCCGGGAATTCCACGAATGTCGTCCCTCCGGCACTGAGCCATGGTAGGCTTATGGAAGCTCATTGGTAGAATTCCCTTATGGCAGAAAGAAGGCCATGATTCACACCATTTTATCATCCGGTGGGGGGACACATTTAATTACAAAACCAAATTCATACAGCTTTCTTAAACACTTCATACATTCAGCACTGCATCGTCACAATTCTGTTATCCCCCAACCTTCAGGCCATAAATATAGCGACTAAAGCGCTAAGTTTGTTTTCAAATGGTTTATGCTGTCTGTTTGGACCTTTCTGAACATGTGCAGCAAATGGACTGATCCAATATGGTCCAGCTTTCTGTCCTGCTGCAGGATCAAAGGTCTCTGGTTTATTGATTTTGAACCAGATGCATCCTGAACGTGAAGAAGCCGACTGCTCTGACCCACATCCAGCTGATGCTTACCTGATCTTTTAGACCTTTGACCCTGAGAAACAGAGACATTTCATTCACCTTACCAGAGTGTCTACCACTGACCTTTGACCTGAAGGAGAACCTCCCCCCGCAGAAGGATCTTTCCCTCCTTGCTGTAGACGGTGCAGGTGAGGAAGTCGGATTTTGTTGGATATTTCAGTGTCAAACTGAGGTCTTTATCTTTCAGAGCATTGGGCCTCATTTCTGTTCTTCCTCTGTAGTACCAGCTCTGCTGATTGGGCTGTTCAGCGCCGTTCTGAAACACATGGGCTGTCCAGTTTTCTTCGTCCCTCCATTCCACTTTAGCATCTTCAGGAAGGTTAGCATTGGTTTTAAAGGGCAGCTCGACAGACTTTGATCCTGACTCCACCTCCACCTTGGGGACTGAGTAGACAACAAAACATGATCAGCTGTCTTTGTGATTCCATTTACAGTGCAGAACGTCTCTGTTAACGGCTCAAGTGATGCGTTTCCATCCCGGCTGTGAGCTGCAGGATTCCTTTGTGGCCTCTTAGCAGAACATTATGGAGGTTTTCAAGTTTCAGTTTTAAAAAAGGATGGATTTTATCCCTTTAAAAGCATTAAACCTGTTTGTCTTATAAAGTCTGCTGAGATCGTGTTGAATGCTGATGCTAATTGATGCTAACAGAAATTATTCTGTCAGAATTTGCTCCTTTCAGAGATTTTTTAGACAGTGAGTTTTAGTAGGATTTTAAGAACAAAAAGCAAGTTTAAGATGTTAGAAAATATACAGCTGCAGCACCAACCTTTGACATTCAGCATCACCTGCTTCTTCATCAGTTCCTTTCCTCTCCTGTTGATGATGGAGCAGGTGTAGATGTTTCTGTCTCTGTATGAGGGGTATCTTATGGTCAGACTGTGGTCTCCAAGTTTCCACCGGTCCTCATTCATCTCTGTTCTGCCCTATATAAGCCTTATTCTGTTCGTTGTGCCCCTCACGATCTTTCGTATGCACATGAACTGTTCCAGCTTTGTTTGTCCACTTTACTGTAACATCCTTTTGGAGGTAGAAGAGATAGCAGGGCAGCAGGACAGACTCTGCTCCTGAATTCACCTCCACCTGGTGAACTGAGCAGACATCAGAGAAACATTATTATCTGTTTAACTGTGGGGTTCAACAGCTCTGCTGTTATTCTGTATTCTTTAGAGGTGCTTTGTGGATTGAAGGCTTTGCGGTTCTCTGCTGTTTTCTTTGACTTAGTTTTCTCCTGTTTTGTGGCTAGCCAGGGAGCTCAGGTATTGGAATTTGATTTAACCTGGCAGGTAATTTTTAATTATTAGCCAAAATCGGCCCTTTGATTGTGTTGACCTTGAGACCCTGATGATACAAGTTTCCCTTGTATTTTAGCTATTGTTAAACCTCATATGGTTAAAATAAATAATTTCTAATGCTGAGTTTGATCACCTTGGCAGTTGATAATTCACTGAGTTTTAGTCAGTCTTTCTTTTGTTTTGTTTTTTTAGACTTACCCCAGCAGATGGTCTCACCAGGGGTCTGAGGATCTCATCTCAGTACCTAATGGCAGTCATGCTACCTCTGGTGAGGTCCACCCAACACTGCCAAACTGGTCATGCTGAGGGATGTTGCAGGCAGCAGGTGGCTTTCTACAGTCCCTCCAGACTCTGTCATGTCTGTCACTGTGCTCAGAGTGAACCTGCATTGCTCTGTGCAGAACACAGGAACTTAGAGGTAGATTAGCCAATCCTGGTGTTCTCTGGCAAGTGCAAACTGCACAGTGTCGGCCTTTGAGCACAACTCCCATCTGTGGACGTCAGGCCCTCATACCATCCTCATGGAGTCAGTTTCTAAAAACTGGACACATGCACGTTAGTGGCCTGCTGGCGGTCATGTGCAGGGCTGTGGCAGTGCTCCTCCTGTTCCTCCATCACAAAGGTGGAGGTAGCAGTCCTACTCCTGGGTTGTTGCCCTCCTACGGCCTCCAGCCTGTGTACACAACACTGACAAACACAGCAGACCTTCTTGCTACAGCTGTCATTGATGTGCTATCCTGGATGAGCTGAACTACCTGAGCCACCTGGTGGGTTGTAGAGTCTGTCTCATGCTACCACAAGTGTGAAAGAACCACCAAGATTCAAACCAAAAAAAAATCAGCCTGAAAGCATAGGTACTGAGAATTGGTCTGTGGTCCCCAGCTGCAGATCCACTCCTTTATTAAGTGAGTCTTGCTAATTGCTAATAATTTTGGAGACAAAATATTCTGATACATAATCCAAATTTATTCCCTGTTTGAATCTTCATTTGGTCTGTGACTACTCACTGGAAAGCTCATTCAGAATAGTTGAATCAAATTTACCAAAAGCTTCACTGATTATAAGAATATGATTGTCAGGACGCCTGTCTGTGTGTTTGTGTTTCTGTGTTTGTCTCCCTTCCTCCACCAGGAGGCGCCTGGTTCTGGTCCGCCTCCTCACACACCTGCTGATGGTTTCCTCATTAACGGAGCGTTCTTAAGCTGCTGACTGCCTCTACCTCGACGCCAGAGTGTTTGCCAGTTTAGGGTACTCTAGCCAAGCTGAGTTTTGCTGAGTCAAACTGAGTTTTTTGTCAACCTGATTCTTAACATTATTTTTGTCTTTGCCTCTCGGCAGGAAGTCATCCTGCAAACTGGATTTTTCGGACCTTCTCTCCCTGGAAGGATCCACAGAGCTTCAAACTGAGCTGGGGATACAAACAGCAGGTTTGGATCTATTTTTCCCCAACACGTCGTTTGAGTTTCACACTGAGCAAGGGATTCATCTCCACTACGACCAGTTCAAGTACCGCAGGAAATCTGAGTGGCAGTCAGCTTCTCTGTTCACCTACAAACAATCGCATTCTGGGTAAACCCTGTTCCGCCCTCCACCGTATCAGACAAACACTGGAACAACAGCATACGGACTCGAGTCAAAGATTCAACAACTTCTCTGGAAACGTGACTCAGGAACCAAATCCTCTTCTCCAAGTTTATTAATCAAATTTCCCACTGAGCCTGAACTAACCAATGTGTCTTCCCCTCACTTTTCAGTTCCGGTTGAGCAGTGTTCAGAGCAACACTTCTCTCTGCATTATCTCTTCAATAAAACCTGTTAAACCTTTCCCCTGGTCTCTCTGAATTGGTTTCTCTGCATGTGGGTCCGAGCTTTTGATAAAAGCATGACAATGATGAAGAAAAAAAACTGTCTGCTTTATTTGTGTATCTTTCATTTAAGTAAGAGAGCACATGTTTGCTCTTAGCAATTATCATCTAGAACCAGACTCACCTGTTCTGAGATAGAACCAGAAAAGAAAGATGGCTCCTCCAGCAACCATTGACAAAAGAGGCAGAGATATCAGGAGAACTATGGCCCATATTGGAAACCGCTCTGTAAAAACATCAACATTATAATAATTGAAGTGCGTACATTATAACCATTTAAAATATGCAGTCATGAACTAATAGGATTTTAGATAATTTGTTTCAATGACATTTGTATGTTATATGATATATAGCATGTTATCATCTAAATCTAAAGAAACGTCTGATCATCTGATGGTCAGAGCTAATAACTGTTAGCTTAGTTAGCTCTAGTGTTTAAAGGTACACTATGCAACCGGTGTTGATTTTCCAGCGAGGCTCCCCCCAGAGGGCGAAAGTAAAAGTGCACTGTCGTAAATATGCACAGCTGTTCTCCTGGTTTCTCCGTCAAGCCAGGCGCGGTTGTTTTGAGCTTAGCAGCGAATGACGCTGCGTTCACACTGGACGTAGCTGGCGCGACAGAAGCAGCGAGTTTACATGCAAAGTCAATGGTTGACGCGCGTCAAGGCGCAGCAAAAGGTCCCGCGGCGCGTTTTGAGCTGCAGGCGCAGCACGTCTGAGCAGCTGAAGCAGCGCGTCGGGTGCGTTTAACGCAGGGAGAGAGACACAGCGCTGATGATCACTCCTCTTAAACAGTTTATTGACGCCTAAATTAACTTAAAATGCAGAAATCTGCCGGCAGAATATGCAGTTTGGATTATTTAGATGAAAAACACCTACCAGCTGCCGCGGTGAACCGCTGCTGATGAAGGGATCCATACTGTTGGCGCCCCGCTGGTATGTGGGGGTCTGAGCGGCTCCGACAGAAAAAATATTGAAGGCAGGATAATAATCTGAATGAACTGACTGCACTGATTACGTTTTCAGGTGTATTTCTCACTTAAACACATATTATAACTACTTTATTCCCACTGATCACAGCAAATATAGCTGCAAGGCAGAGAAAGGATAGTGAAGCTCCGCCCAACGCGCATCAGACACACTTTTGCACCGCGCAGCCAGAGCAGCAAAGCTGCTTCAGCCGCGCGTCAGAACTAACTGGTACAAGCAGCAAAAAGGAAGCAGCAGACGTGATTTTGCTGCTTTTGCTGCGTGAACGTAGCATAACTGCACAAAGATCGCCCCTGTGCTAGCAACGAGAATGCTTTTAACTGGGGGTGTATAGCAGTTCTCGCCGTAAAGCAAGACCGACTCTCGCGAGACTTCTGAGCCTGTGGGTGCGGGTCGGTGCTCCTGCAGTTGCAAGTGCAGTATTTCCCCCACAGACCACCAGGGCGGCCGAGAATACCTTTGTTCAACCTGAAATGACTCATTTAATCATCCAAAACGTTATGGAACACATTAATTAACTGAAAAATGTTGCATAGTGTCCCTTTAATAAAGGGAGCTCAGACTGACAGAAAGCGGCGCTCTGGGTCACATGACCCACGCAGAGACGGATCAGAACCTCTGAGGTCACAGAGGAGAGTCTCTGAGGAGAGCAGCACAGAGGAGCATCGATACGCAGCAGGAATGAAGATGGAGCCGGAGGATCATTGGATAGATCTCAGATTAAGCTTAATGCTGGGGTCAAAGGTCACAACCTGTTACTTTAAAAAACTATTTATATTTAATGTCCTTATGAACAGCTCTGACCTTCTTTGACGTGATGCAGAACGACTCTCTGTCTTAGGATGTCCTGGTCTCTGTAGATGGTGCAGATGTAACTTCCACTGTCTCTGTCTGTGGGATACTTCAGGGTCAGACTCAGGTCTCCAGTCTGCAGCAGATCTACGTTCATCTCTGTGCGAGCGCAGTAAAGGTCATCCTGTTGCCTGTAGTGGTTACTTGTATTTGGAAACACGTGAACGAAGCCAAAATATGGTTCAGAACGAGTCCACTCCACCAGCGTGTCCTTGTTCAAGACAGCTTTGGTTCTACAGGGCAGAATAACAGACTCCGCCTTTTCCTTCACCTTCACCTCAGTGAGGCTGTCTGAAGGAAAAAAACACAACATAAAAATTCACATACTGGTAACATCTACTTTACTTTTATTAATATGAGTTTCAAACTTAATGTTGACCCTTAAAAAAGCAACTTTCATTCTGATCTGGTCCCGAAGAACCAACAAGTTTGTCCAAAGGGCTTCAAAAATATTATAAATAAAAATGATCAAACCAAGACATAAAGAGGAGAGTCTATAGCAGAAACAAAGGGCTAAATTCCACTAAATGTTTATTTTTAAAGGATGGATAAAATTAGATATTTAAAGGCAAAAGTTTGGTGGCAGAAAAAAAGGTTGGTATCCTCTAAATTTCTGAGACAAGCAGCTGATCTTTGAGCAAATGGGGAAGAAAAAGTCTGGAGTGAATCAGGGAAGAACAGGAGAGCAGGACCATGAAGGAAAGATTTAAAGGAAAAGTCGCTCATATTCAGAATCTAAACGTCTGAAAGTTCTTTAAATCTGAAATGATTCCATCCTGTTCAATAAATGATCAGTGTTTTTAATTCAGAGTCATTTTCATGTGAATGTGCTTTACTGGAGGCATCCATGTTTGTCAAAGAACACTACTGCCACCTACTGGTTAGTGACATTGTCACGGTGCGGTATCGGCTGTTGATCAAGTCCCAGTGCTGTATCTGGTGTTTGTCACAACGCGCTATTATCCAAGTCATCTTGAAAACATTCTTCTTCCAAATGTTGGCTACATATTACGGGTTTTTTCTCTGGCCAGAAGTTCGATGGCAAATCCTCCCTCTTCAAGTTGGCGATCCAACGACCAACCCGTCCGTGGAGGATCAGGAATCAGAAAGGTGGAATAACTCTTTTTTTTTCACTTTTACCCGATGTATTCCAGCATCCAGCTGCCATGCACGTGGGCATTGTCAGTTTCACTATAGCTCTGGTGAATTTCAATGGTGAAGTCCTCTGGAAATCTTCAATAATTGTTGTTGATTGCAGATGTGTCTAGTAGTTCCCATTGATTTAGCTTGGAAAGCGGGGAGAATGGCGCTAGGCTTACCGCACCGTGACGTCACTGCTGGAAGATGGCAGGAGGGAGGGGCTACTATATTTGCACAAAAATGGCCGCTCCCAGACTCTATGATCGAGACGGAAAGTATTATTTTAATTTTTTTACTGAATTACGCTAAATTGATTAAATGACCACAAACATTTAGTTTTAGGTATAAATAATGATCCATTGATTATTCCTGCTGACTGAACTTTTCCTTTAAAAACAGAGACCATGTTCTCTAAAATTAGATGATAATGAGCTGATATAAAGAGAAAAGCAGAGGGCCGAGACCGCAGCCCCGAGAAAATGTGAAGTAAAATGAGCGCTGAAAGTCGATATGCAAGAAAGAAATAGTTTTATTTTCCCTGCAGAGGAGAACAACACTCACAGTTAAACTGTTAGTGAGGCTCTGGCGCGGTAGTTTCCCATCCTTGATTATAAAGATTATTCTCACGTACGAACACTGGGTCTCCCCAAGAGAAACAACTCTGAGTTATCAAAGAAATGTTTCCCTAATCAGATAAAAACATATCAAAGCAGCCGTCTCTGCCGTTCACAGCATTAGGGAGTCTTAAACACCTTCAAAGGCATGTTTCTATATTTCACTCTTGTCTAGACTGAGGAGGCAACCGCCATCATCTCACTCCCACCTCCCCCCATAACTCCAGCATAGAGACGGGTTCAAGGTTAGTTCTGTTTGGCTAAAAGCCATCCAGTTAGATCCAAACATAAAAGACTCAACGACTTTAAAATGTTTTAAACTAAACCAGAAAACACGGATTTGATACGGTTTTATACTAAATAAGGGAGGAAAATAAATGCTGCTTAAAGCTGAGCTGCATGGGAAACGCTGCAGCGCCAAGCAGCCAGAAGGTCAGTGGTTGGGATGCTGCTGATTCTCTCTGTACTCATATGATGGCTCTCTGGGTACTCCTGCTTCCTCCCACTTTCCACTTTCCAGTTTGTTTTGATCTGCTGTTTGGATTTTTGGTTGTATTTAATTTTCACTTTGGGTTTTCAGTTATGCTTGGACAAAAAAAATCGAAATCTAGATTAGTTTTTTTTTCTTAAAATAAGTGTATTTGTTCTTGAATTGATGAGATTGAGACATTTTGCCGATGTAACGAGACAATTTGGATTTAAAATAAGAAAATACAATCATTGTCTTATTTCAAGTGCATATTATCAAATTATCTTATTTTGAGAGTAAAAATACACATTCTATTAGCAAACTATCTCATTTACCTGCTCAAATTCAGGGTAAATACACCTAATTTAAGAAACTTTTACTTGTTTCAAGATAATTTTTACAGGGAATTTTTTATTCTGTTTTTAACTGTTAACAATTATATCATGTTTTGAGTTACTTCTTAGTTTTACTATTCCTCTTTGGTGTTTTCTGTTTTTCTCCAGCCCCCAATCCTCTAGTTTTCCTCTTGGTTTTCATTTGTTCTCATTGTTGTCTCCCATATATACTCCTCATCTCTACTTCCTCTTTGCTGGATCCTCTTCCCTCCTCCAATATGTTTCTCCTGGTTTTGGTTGTATTTCTCTAAGTTAAGAGAAATAATCTCTGTCTCTTTATTTTTGCATTTTTGGCTTCAACTAACTTCCGCTAAACTCGACACTGTTAGCTTTGTGGGTTTTTCTAAACGGCCCTTAAACATGAGTGGGAGTGGGCTGGAATGGGTTTGTCCTCTGTGTCCCTGTGATGCTCTAAAAATTAATTTATATCTTTACCAAAAATGTTAACAAATAATTTCCTTTGCTGACCTTTGACCATCCAGCTGAACCTGTGTAAGTTTTAGCTCTACTCTTCCATCAGAGATGGTGCAGGTGTAGTTTCCACTATCAGACAGGTGAGGTTTCCTCAGAGTGAGGCTGAAGTTTCCGGTATCTAGAAGGTCAGGATTCATTGAGGTCCGTTTTCTGTAAAGCTGGTTTTGGTCTGAAGGATCAGCTCCTTCTTCTCTTTGTCGGTGGATGATTTTAGGGTTGAGATCACTTCGAGTCCATAAAACTGTGGGGTTGACTTCAGGTATATCGCCCAAGTACTGGTAGGGCAGCTGGACAGACTCCGCCCCTTCATGCACCTCTACTATCCCAGCCAGGGAAGGATGGGAAACTGGGGGGAAAAAACAGTTTCATTAGAAATCAGACTGAAATCTGCATACTGAAGTTTGAAACTCAAATACTGAGTTGTATGGAAATAACATAACTAAAAGATCAGATCTTTTAGTTATGTTCAAGATCGGCCTGTTTTCCAGTGTAGTCCTGTTTCTCTGACTGTGACTAACTGGATGTGCTCTCTTCATCCTCTGACATGGGAGCTGGCTCGGAGCTCGTCTGCCTGGCTGTGTGTTTCCTGGACGGGGCCGCCTGTGGAGCTGGTTGACAGTTGCCTTTTGTATCTATGCTTCTTTTTCTATGTCTGCTTCTGTCTCCTTGAACCCCAGTGGGCCTCAGCAGATGGCCGCTCACACTGAGCCTGGTTCGGCTGGAGGTTTCTTCCTGTTCAAAGGGAGTTTTTCCTCTCCACTGTCGCTACAAGCATGCTTAGTGTGAGGGATTGCTGAAAAGTCAATGAGTCGAGTACGAGTCCCAGCCTCGTGTCCTACTCTCTGTTGTATATATTCTGTGTTTTTATCCTCATACTTTTCTTAAATTCTTATTCTTAAAAATTTAAACACCTAAAACAAAGTCACTGGGAGCCACTGGCTGAATATGGACCCTGGTCTGGGAACCAGATCCAACCAAGAATCTGGCTGAGATGAGGAAGATGATCTTACCCTGCAGGAGGATCCCAAACATCAACATCATCTTCATCCTCCTGTTAAAGAGCAAGAAGAACAAACTAAGAGACACTTTCAAAGGCCTGGAGGACATAGCAGCTGCTCATCGTCTCCTATCTACTTTACTATCTCTACACCTCCCACCATCAATCAGTGACTGCGGCTTAAAGTGCTTTGGAGTCTCCTGACTTTAATTTCTATTATTTTACAGGAACTGGCAGCTGCAACATTCAGTTAAACTGATCCAGAGGAGAAGGATCTCCTGGTTTCTCTCCATCTTGCTAAGGAAGAGGAAACCGTTGTTAGAGTGATAACTATCCTGTGTTTCAACCAGAAGGGTCATAAACTTTTATGACCTCCTGTAGGTCATGAGGCAGAATCACACGGATGTGTGACTTCCATCCAGCCAGTTGGTCAATTCACACCATCTTGTTACCTGCATCCTCCCAGACAATCATTATTGGGTCTGCTGTTTTAGGCCCGCCTGTTTGATGTTGTAAACTGTTAATAAAAGGCTTTGCCATGAAGGGATCTGTGTGAGAAGGTGATGGCTTTTCAAGCCAGAATCTTCTCTCCACCCGCCACACACTGACGTCACAAAACCCTGTCTCTGTGTTGATCATTTCCTTTTAATCTTTTAGACTCACATTTCTCTGGATTAAAACCCAACATTTTTGGTGCTGAAACCCGGGAGTCAAGATCCAATTGTCCAGGACCGTGCGGGACCAAGGCCAAGAAACTGTCAACAGCCGTCCACCCTTTGCCGGACGGAGCCAATAGGTTGGTCCAGCCCTGCCCTGGACATCCTGGTGACGACTCAAGCTGAGGACTGATCTGCACAGAAACGGTACGCCTAAGGTTTTTTATTAAAAGCTGGTCTGGGACCATGTGAAAGCTATAACTAGTTGTAGTCGCTAGAATATTTGACAAACAGGGTTTGTTGTGGGAGATCTGGGATCGGTATTCTATGCGTTTTGGGTCAGGGACCCTCTGTGTGAAAGCTATAACTAGTTGTAGTCGCTAGAATATTTGACAAACAGGGTTTGTTGTGGGAGATCTGGGATCGGTATTCTATGCGTTTTGGGTCAGGGACCCTCTGTGTGAAAGCTATAACTAGTTGTAGTCGCTAGAATATTTGACAAACAGGGTTTGTTGTGAGAGATCTGGGATCGGAATTCTATGCGTTTGGGTCTGGGACCCTTTGTGTGAAAGCTATAACTGGTTGTAGTTGCAAGAATATTTGACGAAACCAAGTTTTGTTTACAAGTCTGGGACCTGGGTATTCTGTGCGTTTGGGTCTGGGACCCTCTGTGTTCAAACTATAACTGGTTGTAGTTGCAAGAATATTTGACGAAACCAAGTTTTGTTTACAAGTCTGGGACCTGGGTATTCTGTGCATTCGAGTCTGGGACTCTATGTTGGTTAAAAAATACAAAAATATTAGGCCTTAGGTGTGTGTGACTGTGTGAAAGTGTGTGAGGAAACAATCGAACCGCTGTGTACTGGACTAAATTCTTTAAAAATGGGACAAGGCAGTAGTAAGAAGGAAATGCCAGATGATGTTAGATGGATGGTGGCGTGTTGTGGTGGTGACCCAGAGTTTGCCAGAAAGTGGATTGAGAAGGAGGGCTGGGATGGAAAGTTGAGAGTTGAGCCGCTGACAAAGATTCAGCAGAAGGTGGAGATGAAGTTGGTGTATAAATCAAAAAGAAAACAAGCTAAATACAGAAAAGAATTAGAAGAGTTAAATAAGTGGATTATGCAAGCAAAAAATAGGGAAAGCCAAATACAACAGAAGAAGGATAGTAAGACAGCTACAATTGCTGCTGTAAAAGTTAAAGCTGATGAAGAAACTGTTGTATCCCGTATGCTTCCTCAATATCCTGACCCTAATCAAATTCAAGGGGGTGATGGGGTTCAAGCAGTGGCATCAGCTGCGCAGGAAGGTGGAGATAAACCCCATCACAGTGAATATGAACACAGCCATGCCACTGTTCCTCCTCCAGTAGTCCCACCATCGTGTGGTGATATTGGAGGAGCAGGAGCAGGCCCCCTGTCCGTGTCGTCCTCTGTGGATGGTATGGAACTCAGTGCCGCTGACCCTTGTGAGCATGAATTAAGAAAATCAGGGGGGGATGTGAAGCTTGATTCGAAGTGTTACAGGGATGATTATCAAGTGGAGGCTTGTGGAAGGGGCCCATCTGCCCCTATTTATCCAAGATTGGCTGAATTAAAAAAACAAGAACAGGACCAAGATCCTGGGGGGGGTGCATGTGCTTTTCCGGTGTTGGAGGTGGCCAACCCTCATTGTGGTCAACGCACGGGACCCCAAGATGGTGACCCACTGGATTGTGGACCCACTGTTCTTGTGTGTGGGCCATGGACAGATGCAGAGATGCGGACTGCCTGTCGAGGTTTACCTCCAGCCAGACAGAACCCAGTTAAATGGTTCGAGGATGTTAAAAATAGATTGAGAAAATTCATGGCAGAAACAGGAAAGCCATGGGCAGAAACCGAACAAGATGACATTGACCCGCTAACTAAGTGGATGCTGAAGCTTTTCAGCGACAAAACTGTTCGGAAAACATGTAATCTGCCTAGTGCTCCTTTTGTTTCCCCACAGGAAAGCCTGGAGCCTGGAGACCGAGTGCTGATTAAAATCATCAAAAGGAAAACTTGGAAAGCTCCGAGGTGGGAAGGACCCTACAAAGTGCAACTAACAACCCCCACTGCCGTGAAAATCCAGGAGAGAAACACTTGGATCCACCAGAGTCATTGTAAACTGATTAAAAACTTTCCACAGCAAAAAAGCCCAGTTACTTTCACAGGGACCCCACGACTAAGGTATAGATCTGTGGTGAAGTCCAGCTTCAAAGGGGTTTGGTTTTTTTAGGACCACTCGTCTCAACTCTGGTGAAAAAAACAACCTAACCCAGTCTTTTAGAGTCCGGTTAGTGGGTGTTTCCTTGGACGGACTGGCAAAGATCTGAAAAACCAAAGTGGTTATGCTGCCCGGTGATGACTGTTGGACCGGTGTTCCTAGGAACTCAAACTGACTGTCTGAAACAAAGGAAGAGCAGGATGATTTTTGATGGATCCACAGCAAGTCATCCTACAGTGCCAAGATGTGGTGGCAACATGCAAGACATGTTGCTGAAGATTTGAACAAAACAGACTGTTATGTTTGTACTCATATTCCTACTCCTATGAATAAAATATGAATTGAAAGATGCTGATGTTTTTATGTATAAGAGGAGGGAAATGTTAGAGTGATAACTATCCTGTGTTTCAACCAGAAGGGTCATAAACTTTTATGACCTCCTGTAGGTCATGAGGCAGAATCACACGGATGTGTGACTTCCATCCAGCCAGTTGGTCAATTCACACCATCTTGTTACCTGCATCCTCTCAGACAATCATTATTGGGTCTGCTGTTTTAGGCCCGCCTGTTTGATGTTGTAAACTGTTAATAAAAGGCTTTGCCATGAAGGGATCTGTGTGAGAAGGTGATGGCTTTTCAAGCCAGAATCTTCTCTCCACCCGGCACACACTGACGTCACAAAACCCTGTCTCTGTGTTGATCATTTCCTTTTAATCTTTTAAACTCACATTTCTCTGGATTAAAACCCAACAACCGTCCCAATAACTGAGAAGGAAGACTCAGATCCAGTTTCTGCTCGATTCACCAATCAGTGATCTGAGGACAGCTGCTGGCCTTTAGACTTTGTCGTCTAAAGGCCAGATTCATCTGCCGATTACATCACAGCGCGGCGCTGTCGTGGAAACTGTCCTCCCAACGACTTAAAATTGATGCTAAGTCTTATAAAAATTCAAAGTTCTTAAAAAGCAGTAGAAAAGTCTTCAGACAATGATCAAAAATCAGGCAGAGGCAACTGGGTCCAATGTGGTTTATTGCAAAACACAAAAACAACCACATGAGCTGTTCACAGGTGAGCAACTGACTTACATGCACAAACAGGCTCTCTTTTATTCACTCCTGGGGCTTGGGGCTCTTTCATCTTGGTGGAAGACCCACCTCCAAAATGGCCTTGGACACCTTTCAATGTTTCTGTTCCCCGCTTATTCTCTGTGTTTTCCCACCCTGGTCTTATCTCTCAAACTTCAAGGCTGCACTCAAAGCTGCACCTGCAGAGAGCCTTACACACACTGCTCTCTATCTCTCCATATTTGGTGGAGCACACTCTTTTGGACTCTGTGACCTTTATAAAATAAATGTATTTAGTGTCAAACATTTATTCAATATGTAAAACATGTATCCAATATATTCTAATCATTGGTGCAGATTAATTTACTACAGCGCCGAGGCCTGTTCAGATTGGAAGACTCCTCCTGATTCGGCCGACAAATGCTTCCTGTTTGCCTGTTTTGAAGGACAGGTCCGCTGTATCCTCCGTAGCCTTGGGTATCCCATGATTCATTGTGAGTCCAAGCAAGCCGGCTGCTCGATGCTCAGAGGAAAAATGTAAATGACGCCAAACAGTGGTGTACACTGGAAGTGCAGTTTAATAATATTTTATTCATTTTATGAATATTATTTTGCCCTACCAATGTACTAAACTATAATAATCCTTTGAAATTGGACACAACTCAATGTTCCACTGCATTTTGCACCATTATTTTTTTGCACTTTACTAAACATATACACACTTTGTGCATACAAAATTACAATCAATTCTAAGTGTTGTCTAATATAATCCAGTCTGTGAATAGTTCCATCTAAAATGAATGAAAATAGATGTTTTAATGGTGACTGAGTCAGATATGTGGCAGTAATGTTTGGTTTATTAAAAGGTTTTATCTGTTACTGGATTTGGCTGTAATTTAAGCTCAGATTCTAACATCTCTGCAGGGTGGGGACTATAAATCTGATATCTGAGACGACCGTACTGCTGCTGAAGCTCCTCAGAAATGTTATTAGCATCCAGAACAGCAGTGAGAAGTTCAGCATCCATTCTTTGCTGCTTTGTGTGTTAACTGTCATGGTTGCTAGGCGATAGAGCATAACAGCGGTGAAAGCATCCATAGCCAAACTCTTCCAGCCTCCTTATTTTTAAAGACCTTCAAGGATCCAGTCCAGGTAGACGGTGTCGTTGGAGGATGCAGCCTCTGAAATGGAAGGCACCCATAGTCTGGGTGTTTGTAGAGCGCCATGCTGGTTCCTCTCAGGCGTGTGGCATCTCGTCTGGCAGGTCTATACATCATTACTTTAAAATTCTGATCCAAAATAAGGCTTTGTTTTTGGTCCACTCTATAAAGTATGAAACTCATTCCTGACATTTTGAATTGAAAACTCTTCCTGGATGGGAAGCGAAACGTCTTCAAAGTTAATTCATTTTGACTTTTTTTGGAATGACTTTTAAATATCCTTTTTTCACAGACAGACTCTCAGAGCCTCCAGTGTCTGCGCTCCTCTGGGATATTATGGGATATATAAAGAACCACCTTCACACTAGAAGACCCCCCCCCACCTGATCCAGGCTGACATCCTTCATTACTAAACCAACCGTTTTCCATACAGGAAAACTCGCCGCCCCAATGTTTTGATGTAAATGTGGATCTGGTGGTGCTGGATTCAGTTCTATCTTAGATCCTAATCGGACCTCAGGTCATCGGGTTTTTCCTCTTCCTGCCATCATCATCTCCTAATCATCCTGGAGCTTAAGAGGAAGCAGACGGCTATTGCCTGAGTGTTTGCCAGTGATGGTTCTCTGAGCCCCCAGAGAGATGCTTTAGTAACGGACTCTGGTTGTCTATCTTGTCTATCCTCAGGTGTTTCCTCGTGACGCCATGGATCCTCCTTGTGAGGACCTTGCTCTTGTTTTCTGGATTCTCTCTCCTCATGATGCCTTTGATTGTTATCCACTGTTTGCCACAGTTCCTCCATCATCATCATTAGTTTGATCACAAGCAGTTCCTGGATTCTCCAGCCTGATCGCTCCTCTTTCCACCTCCAAGCCTAAGTAAACTTGTCTGCCCTCCACCAAAGTCTCCACATTATGAACCTTAGGTCACTCAGTCGAAACCTCTCTCTGGAACCTGGACTGGGTTAAGAAACTGGAAACCAACATTATAGTCATTTAAATCATCGAAAACGTCCCATAACCTCCTTCCTTTACTCCTACATGTTGTTCAAAGCAGTCGGCTGATAAGATGGATATTTTTAAGGAAATTACATGTTATTTACATGTAAGCAAAATTTAATAAACAATCCTGCTTGCTGGTTTATTTCAAAGACAGATCTTTAATTGTTGCATTTATCCGTCAGCCAATTAAGTAAAACATCCAAATAATCTGGTCTTGCTGCTTTACAGGCTACAGCTCACACCTTTACACCAAGCGTTTGCCACCCGATCCAATCAAAGAGCACTAGCTCCCCCAGAAGCTCCTATAGCCCCCCCATCACATGGGATTAACGGGTAGCAGAACCCAACTGACCCAACAAAGAGGTCTCTGGCTTTAGCATCCGCTCTGAGTGGCTGGTAGATGGAACAAGGGAAGAATCTGTTTGGGCAGTTATGCTCATTTATGTTCAATATTTAGCTTATTAAGCTACTAAAGGCCATCCAGGCTGGTTTAGAGGTATGGAGGGAAAATCAGTTCAGGTTGAGAAATTACTGCTAATTTATGGTAGAAGAAATACCAGGATTGAGCATAAATTATGAAATTAAAGCCTAATTAAGTCCTAATATGGTAGAAACATGAAGTAATGTGTGAGAGTTAGCATAGATCATTTAAAAGTTTGTTTTCAGAAAGAAGAAAAAGGTTTTTGTGTTGCTGTCCTTTAATTTTTATTTTCTTGTAATTAAACGCACCCGTCTGTTCTGACTGGAAAAGATAACGCTGTGGTCGGGGTGGAGCCGATTATGAGCAGAAAGATAAGGCTGCAGTTTACTCCACCAAACCTCTTTGGATATTATTTTATAGAATATAAATTAATTTTCTGCCTTTCTGTAGTTTGAACTATAAAATGAAACCAGAGCTGAATTCCAGCAGGTTCATCCAGCTGTGGTTGATCTCATGTTTCAGTCAGGAGATGTTGGATGGAGCAGACAGGCAGTCAGCATGGAGCTGCAGACCTTCATGCTCCATCATCCATCCTTCTGTCTCTGCCTGCAGTAATTTAAGCACTACAATAATTCATGAAAGCTTACCTTAACAGCAGGTTGGAGATTAAAAAGAAAAAAAAAAAAGGAAAATGTTCTAATAGAATAAAATCTAATACCAAAAAACTAACATTTCACTTCATCTTTTATCACCAAAAGGTTCCAGGAGAAAACAGGCAGCAGTTAATCAGTAAACCCACAGCAGGGTGAAAACGTCCACTTTTCATTTTCATAAGGCCTGTGATGCCTGTTAGTATAGACCCCCCCCCCCCCAGGGAACATTAGAGGGAGGGGCTTTTAGGTGAACTACAGTAAACCCTCCCCTTATTAAGGAAATTAGCTGAAACTATATCTTTATTTTACACATTTTAACTATATGTGTAAAATAAGGATTATATTTAACTATAATAATAAATTACTGTATAAAAAAAAAATGTAATCTACTGTAAAAAAAAATGCACTCAATGGTTTTATATCTATTTTATATCTATGTCTTTCTACCTCCACTTATGATAAATGCATTAAGACCAAAAGAATGAGACGTCAGTCAATCATGGGATCTGCTGATCTTCTGCATTCTTGGTTCCTGTACCAACCTACTTCCTGATGACAGTACATAGCTTTGCCTGTGAAGCGATAAACAATAATATTAAAGTGTTGATAGAATGATTCTATAGGGTATCTGGTCCTTCAGATATAATAGAATAGGAAGGTTCCTCCAACCCTTCAAGTAGGATCCACTCTGGAGGTGGAACATCAATATAAATACCTTGGAATTAATGACTCTCTCACCTTGAAACCTTTAATTGATAAACTTGTGAAGAAATTAAAAGTTAAACTGAGCTTCTCCTTTCGTAATAAGACATGTTTTTCTTTCGGAGTAAAAAGCTCCTTGTCTCTGCTACGTTTTTATCGTTCTTAGATTCTGGTGACCTTTTTCTTCCTGTCTTTAAATGTTGGACTCTGTTTCCCATAATTCATTAAGGTTCATCACAGACTGTAGAGCGATGACATCACTGGTACCTGTCCTCTCAGGTGGGATGGCCTCTCTACCAGAAGGCTGTGTCATTGCTTTTATTTCCGAGGCCCTCCATGGATTACTGCCCTCTAACGTTTCTACCTTCCTTCCCCAGTAAAGCGCGGCTTCTTCTGCCTGAGATCCACCATCAGCTGCTGCTCTCTGCTGCTTTTGCCCGAACAGAACTGGGGGAGGAAACCTTCAGCTCCGCTGCTCCTTCTGGGGGGAAGATTTTACAGAGAAACTGGAAGTTGACTGAGTTTTTATCTTTAAAAGCTTTTAAGTTGAAAGTGAGAGAATTTGAAGCAGCCTCAATGATCTTCTGTTTTACTTCATGTTTTTTATGTACCTGTCATTTAATTTAACGTATCTCTGTTTATTAAGTAACTTTGCTGCCTCTTGGCCACGACTCCCTGGAAAAAGAGGATTTTGATCTCAATGGGATGTTTTTCCTGGTTAAATAAAGGTTTAAAAAAAACTCTTATAGAAGCACTTTTGTTGTTTTTCTTAATATATTGAGGCAAGTCTCTTGTTATTACATTGACATTTATTTCTGGCATCAAAACATCTATATTTGTTTAATGTTCCAAAGGTAATGACGTCCTTTCCTGGATTCCAATAACACTATTGGCTGGAAATTATGATTTTCAAAGTATTTCACTAAGTGGCTATTAAAGGGTTAAATAGCATCTCATAGATCCAACCGTAGATCTAGAGTTATTAGAAAAGAAGAGGGAGATTAAAATGGTTTCATATTTAGGTGGATTATTGGCAGGAAGGCGCTTTGCAGATTTATGTCAGCAGGTGGCGCAGTTGAACTATTTGACGCTCAGGCTGTTTTAGGCTCAACTTGTCTGTCAGACCTTGCAGTTGTGGAGATTCTTCATGGGTCAAACTAGAAAACAGATGAAAGCGTCTCTGAGCCTGAAGATCCTTTAAAATGATTTCTTGTTTCCTTCCATCAGCAGTTCTATTCAGGCTGATTTAAATAAGGCTAATAAATGTCCTCTGAGCTTTAAACATGAACAGGTCTAAGTGAGACGGATATGTTCGCAGGAGGCAGAGGGGACCAGAGGAACCTTTCTGAGAAGCTCCCTGACGTTGAGCATCCTGATCCTGACCACATCCAGTCAGCTGCTCTGACCTCCACGCTGTGTCACACTAGGATGAGTGATTTCCTGAAAAGCCCCGTGGGAATTCCACAACCCGTCCTAAAAAAACACCCAGACATCTTTCAACATTAACATCATTGTTCCGTTTTTCTCAGACAGGGGGCGGAGCCTAAACCAGGAGAAAGGAAACCAGATCTGATCTAAGCTCTTCTGATGATGTGATGTTTAACAGCTTCACTCTCTCCCAGCGTCTTTTAAAAACACCTGGAACATTTGTTTTGTTTGCTCATGTTGCTGGATGTTCATGGAGGTATTGCTGCTGGAAAGAACCAGTCCTCCTCCACAGCCTCAGGTCTTTGGTGTCTTTAAACTGTTCTTCATCCATCTTCCCATCATCTCCCCCCAGCTGCCCTGTCCCACAGCATGATGCTGCCACCAGTTGATCATTGGCTTCTGGTGGATTTTTGGGCCCATTTTGTTTTTTCTGTAAGTCCTTCCATTAATAAAAATAATTCAGAGATCCGATGATGTTTCCTATCATCTGTTTGCTGATGATATCCAGCTTTCCTGCTCTTTGAAGTCCTCTGAGATCCAGAAGTTAGGCTCTCTGCTTGCGCACGTAAACAATTGCTCGGTGTAAATTCCCTGCAACTAAACTCAGATAAAGCAGAGGTGCTGGTGATTGCTGCTCAGGAAGTTATTCCAGGTATCCTCCAGGATCTGGGCCACTTGAGTTTGTCTGCTAAACCAAGCCTTAGAACCCGAGGCGTTAACTTTGACAGAACATTGACCTCAGAGTATTTAGAGTCTAAAAAAATTCAGTGTTTAAAATTCTGTGTTAAAAAAGGCAGATTTCAATGAGAGTTTTTCTTCCATATTAGAGCACCAAACTAACTGTTTTACCAACTGAGGAAAATCTCTAAACTTAGAACAGTTGTGTCCAGAGATGATCTTGAAATGATTATCTACGCCTTCGTGTCTTCCTCTTTAGACTACAGTAACAGTCTATTCTCGTCTAAAAGAAAAGGAGTCGTCTCGTCTTCAGCAGGTTCAGGTCACTGACTGTCTGTGAAAGGTGTTATAGACATAAATATTACTTCTTGTCAAAGTTCCTCCTTCCAGCTGTTTGCTGTATCTCCTAATGACTTGTAGAAAATAAGACTTCCTCTTCTTGTCTGTCAGCCATAAAGGTCAGATCTGAGGAGTTTGACATTCCTCAATCTGAGCTGCAGCTCAGACATCCATGATGACCAAACCAGCGACATGATTGGTTAATAACACACCTGGACAGGTATTCAGTCCTTTACAAGACAAACAGCGGTTGGTAGAAACAAGCTGCGTTTCCTGTTTTAAGATTTTAGGTTTCCAGACTTTCAAATCATTTTTCTTCACCTTCAGGTTTTGATCCCCATCTGATGGGAGTGGGCGGGGAAACGTGATTGACAGCGTGTAGCTTTGAGAGGTGTCCCTTTCCATGTTGCATTCATGTACTGTGGGAATTCAAGGATTAATTACGCTGGAACTGTTACAACCACTTTATAAACCACAAAACTTTCCAATAACGGCAAAGTTAATTCTGTGTCCGTTTCCAGAATTCGCCGTCTGGACTGAGTGGTTTTAGCGATACTGCTATTCAGATAAGTTTAATCTTTTTTACAAACTATATTGTCACAGTCATAGATAATGAAATTAAGATTTAAACCTTGGCTGCTCAGTGGTACAATGGCAGTGAGTAACGGGGTGTCTGCAATGTTACTGCACGTTACTCAGATTCGGTTTCCTCTGCATCTCCGCACAGCGCGGCGGCACGATTCACCGCGCAAGCGACAGGAAACGCGCATGCTCGCTAAAGGCGCGCAACAGCCACCCTGTGCTCGCGCCACAGGAGAACTATGGAGAGCGTGAAGGATCATTAGCCTTAGCATTAGCATTACATGTTGCAGTATCTATAAAAACCCAAACACAGGATTTCAGAATTAGACATCCCCAGTTATTAATTTCATACACTCGTAAAAGTAACGCAATGGTTAGTTTTACCAGTAAATAGTTACTTTTAATGTGGAGTAACTCAGTTACTAACTCAGTTACTTTTTGGGAGAAGTAACTGGTAACTATAGCCCAACACTGTACAGTGGGTAGCACTGCTGCTAACATGACTGTTAGGTTAAGTGGCTTCTCTAAATCCTCCTTAGGTGTGAGTCTGAATGGTTGTTTGTCCTGTTTGTCTCTGTGTTGCCCTGCGATGGACTGGCGACCTGTCCAGGGTGGACCCCCGTCTCTCGCCCACTGACAGCTGGAGGTAGACACCAGCACTCCTCGCTACCCCGATTGGGACAAGCATGTCAGATAATGAATGGATGGATTTAAACCTTTAAAAGATGTTAACAAGGGGACTAGACTCCTGGCGATCTATAATGTGGCGAACCTTCCCTCCTCTGCTGTCCGCTCTGCGGTTCGTTAGCCTTTCTCCTCCTGCTGGTTCTACGATCCGGCGCCGGACTCCAGACTGGCTGACATGACCAGGTTCTGAGGTTGAGTTTTGTTGAGCAGAAAAGACCCGAAAAATGGTTTGAAAAAGATTTTATTTTCCAACAGCTTCTATAAAAATATTCTACATACACCAAACAAACATTTAGGATAAAACTTACAGATGAAAGCGGTGAAGCCGTTTTAAGGCACCAGGAACATTTGGACCATCATCACTGCAGCTCCGAGTTCTACAGAACAAGTAGAAACGGTTCCAGGTTCTTCTCAGTTCTAGGATTTCCTGGTTGATCTAGAATCAGTTTAAGGCCGCTACAGGTCAGCACCCTTCAGTTCAGAATAGATCTGATTATTCTAGATCAGAATCAACGCATTTTCAGATCATTAAAGATCAGAACTATTTTGTTGTTTTATTTCATGCATAGCTCCCTGAGATGCATCATCTGGGTTAATGGAGGAGAGGACATCAGGCTTTCCTTCTGAATATAAATGAATGGAAAATTAAATACATAAATAAAAATAATTATTCTATAAATTAGAGCAGGGTCCCTCCGATGGAGGATCATCCAGAAAGATATGATGGCTGCGTCTCTAATGACCGGTTCCTGTGAGGCTGAACGGGTCTGAGCGAAGACTAAAACCAGACCTGAACTCCAGAACATCCGACTTCATGTATGGAGAGAAATTTATCTCACAAACTGAACCAAGAAGAATTTATTCAACATTTTCTAAGATAATAAAAACAGATTGATTTCATGTTCCTGTTTCTGACTGCCTGGAAACCTGCGGACTCTTCAGAGTTTCCAGGCAGACCTGGACAGTTTCAAACTTATCTGAACCAATCGGGGAACCGTATCACGCTCTGACTGGTAGAGAAATCAATTCCTGAATAACTGCGGCAGAACAGAACCTGAAAGTTCAAAACAGCATCAGAACCAGAACCCTGAGCAGCACCATTTCTATAGAACTGGACAGAACCAATCAATGAAGGTTTTGACACCAGAGTTTAGTTTGCTGGAAGACTCTGATCACGATGGCGGCGCCGCCATGCTTTATTCCTGGTTGTTCTGATTCGAGGTCCCTTCAGGCGTTCAAGTGTTCTTAATTCTGAAACAAAGAAAGAGACCGGACCTCCTGCTGAGAATCTGGAAGGTTCTAGAGACGCTTTGAACAGATTCCAGATCCTCAGGAAAGGAAAACCTGTGCTGGACAGAAACAAATGGAGAGTTCTGGAGAAACGCTGAGGCATTTTATATTTCTAGATCCTTTCATTGAAGGGATTGAAGGACCAGTTGGAACGTCGGGGACCAAAGAAGCAGCTCGGATCAGAACAGGTCTTTGAGCACAGCGCCCCCTTCCTGCAGCTCAGTCTCTGTGGAGGAACCAGAACGGTTGTGATTGTGCAGGATTCAGGCTCCAACACCAGCAGCTGGTTTGACGTAGAAGCTCTGAGCCAGTTTCTGCATCCTCTTGTTGCAGTGACCCTGCGGGACCACTGACCGAAATCCCCCATTCTCCTGTGCAACAATGGAGTCCAGTTCATCTTCCTCGCCCTTCAGATCCTCCTTTCTTTCAACATTTGGATGGAAGTACAGATAATAAACCACCTTACAAACCAACCCGACCGCATAAACCAAAACCACAACGCCGTAGATGATGGAAGCCGTGAAACATGAGATCTGGGAGTAAGGAGGATACACGCTCATCCTCCAGAACCACAGCCCACAGAGGAGGGAGATATCAGCCAGGATGTAGGCGTGGTACGCTATGGTCCACTTCCTGGTCTTCCCTGTCCCCACGTTGAACCAGTTAAAGTACCAGATGAGGCCCAGGGTGGCCCGGAACAGCTGCTCCCCCCCTGTGCTGTCCATGAAGTCCGTCTTTGCACGCCAGGCGCAGAAGAACAGCACCAGCCAGGAGCAGAGGAAGTGGGCGACGATGAAGCAGGGCAGCACATAGGCGAAGAGGGCGAGGGCGACGATGCGAGGCGACAGGAGGAGCAGGTTCCACACGAAGTAGACCATGGAAGAGATGATGCTCTGCTTCTTTTTGTCTGGTAGGAAGGAGCGCATGCAGCGGTGGTACATGGTGACGCAATAGGCGACGGTCAGCAGCGAGGCGACGGTCTTCAGTACTGAGCAGGAGAGAGAGACAGGAGGAAGTTCAGAGATCATCAGAAACTGATGCAGAAAGGGACGGAAGCAGGAAGGCAGCCGTGGAGAAGGGAAGGTTTGGTCGGAGGCCGAGCCCTGCCTCAGTGGAAGAAAAGGTGCTGGGTTCTACATGAGGTCTAACAATGAGGTCCAACTATGAGGTCTAACTATGAGGTCTATGAATGATGTCTAACAATGAGGTCTATGAATGATGTCTATCTATGAGGTCTAACAATGAGGTCTATCAATGAGGTCTAACAATGAAATGTAACAATGAGGTCTAACTATGAGGTCTATGAATGATGTCTAACTATGAGGTCTAACAATGAGGTCTATGAATGATGTCTATCTATGAGGTCTAACAATGAAATGTAACAATGAGGTCTAACTATGAGGTCTAACTATGAGGTCTATGAATGATGTCTATCTATGAGGTCTAACAATGAGGTCTATCAATGAGGTCTAACAATGAAATGTAACAATGAGGTCTAACTATGAGGTCTATGAATGATGTCTAACTATGAGGTCTAACAATGAGGTCTATGAATGATGTCTATCTATGAGGTCTAACAATGAAATGTAACAATGAGGTCTAACTATGAGGTCTAACAATGAGGTCTATGAATGATGTCTATCTATGAGGTCTAACTATGAGGTCTATCAATGAGGTCTAACAATGAAATGTAACAATGAGGTCTAACTATGAGGTCTAACGATGACGTCTATGAATGATGTCTAACTATGAGGTCTAACTATGAGGTCTAACTATGAGGTCTATGAATGATGTCTATCTATGAGGTCTAACTATGAGGTCTAACTATGAGGTCTATGAATGATGTCTGACTATGAGGTCTAACAATAAGGTCTATCTATGAGGTCTATGAATGATGTCTAACGATGACGTCTATGAATGATGTCTATCTATGAGGTCTAACAATGAGGTCTAACTATGAGGTCTAACTATGAGGTCTAACAATTAGGTCTATGAATGATGTCTAACAATGAGGTCTATTAATGATGTCTATCTATGAGGTCTAACAATGAAATGTAACAATGAGGTTTAACTATGAGGTCTATGAATGATGTCTAACTATGAGGTCTAACAATGAGGTCTATGAATGATGTCTATCTATGAGGTCTAACTATTAATTCAATTCAATTCAATTCAATTCAGTTTATTTATATAGCGCCAAATTCACAACACATGTCATCTCAAGGCACTTCACAGTTCAACCAGATCATAAAGTCAAATTGATACAAAGTTCTCCATCTAAGGAAAACCAGTTGATTGCATCGACTCATTGACTCAATACAATCCCTCACACTAAGCATGCTTGTAGCGACAGTGGAGAGGAAAAACTCCCTTTAAACAGGAAGAAACCTCCAGCAGAACCAGGCTCAGTGTGAGCGGCCATCTGCCGAGGCCGACTGGGTTCAAGAAGACGGAAGCAGAGACACAAAAGCAGCTGTAATAGGCGGCCCCGTCCAGGAAACACACAGCCAGGCAGACGAGCTCCGAGCCAGCTCCCATGTCAGAGGACGAAGAAAGCACATCCACCCATCG